GGAGTATGACATGCAGCACACAATGCTGCCATCCAGGAATTTAACCACAGACTCCCTAAATATAATATATAAATATAGCTCAACCACCTGAGATATTACTTGAGTCCAGGCTGCCAATAGCTTTTCAAATAACCCGTCCATTCCCAGAGTAGGCGAGTGTTGAAGCCCAAGTTTTAATGTATTGTATGTATTTCAAAACCTTTCTTTTTTCTTTTTAAATCTCTTACCCCCGTGGCTAAGATCTCTCCATTTCGCTCATATGCAATGGCAGTCACGTGGCCATAGTGGGGTTTGAAGGCCTGTTTGAGGCGCAGCTTGGCATCTCCATCGGGGCTGCGCCCGGTGACCACGTGCAGCCTTTGAGGGTCGTACAGCTCCAGTAAGCGGACCACCCCGTCCTCAAAGCCCACCACCAGTAAGCTTCCGCTCTCGTTCACCTAAAGACAAAGTGCCAGAGACCCAAAGGTCAGTTTTCAGTGAGTTCTCAGTATATTTTCCGCCTCGGCATACTCACCAAAGGCGGAGCCCAGCTGAGAGCAGTTCCATCCTGGTTGAAGCGACTGCTGGTCAGCTCTCTCTTGGCCAGGAAGTCAAACACTTTGACCGAACCTGGAGATCAGCGGCAGAGGCAGAACGAGTCCCTTGTGTGTCATGGCTTTATGTTTGTGTCTGTGTATTTGCAAGCATGCACAATAGGGGTACAGGTGTGGAAGTGCGTGGGACTCACGGTCGAGAGCGGTCGTGGCCATCAGGTGGGATTTCCTGGACACGTCCAGGCCCTGGATCGCCCCGGCGTGGAAGGTAAACAGGCACTCTGGATCAGGAGTCTGCACACAAAGACGACGCTGCGTTTATTCATCCTGCTAGTTTATCATAACATGTGATGACACAATAAGGTTTGCTAACAGGCTCGGAGAGTAACGGGAACAGCGTTAAAGTACAAAAAAAGCCAAAACGCATTTTGAAATATAATAACATGCAAACACAGTTCAACGCGAGTACACCACAATCTATTTATTAAAATGCTTTCACTTTCACATGTAAGGTATAAAAGGGGAAAACTATCACAGTGCAGTGAAAGTTAATGCAAAGAAGGATGGTTTGCACATTTTGCAGTTCACCAAGATTATTTTTGGTGTCGGAAGTCAAACCCCAGGTGGCCTCACATTTGCTTCATACAAAGCTGCAATAAACAAAGTGTAACATCCACATCATTTCTCTATAAAAAAAACTCACTGTGTAAGTGAACGAAAAATCCAGTTTCCAGATTGCTCCTCTGGAATCCTATGAAAGCAGATAGTGGAGGGATTAGGTTTGGAAAGTTAAGGCCAGATCCTGTATTGCAAATGGTTTTGATCAGTGACCTTTGACCTTTCATCCTCTGACCTGAGCAAAACAGACGAAGGAGTCGGGCAGGGAGCTCCTGACTAAAGAGGAGAGGCACACGTTGTGTCCGACCACCATCTCGTTCATGGGCTCCAGCTCAAACCTGCTGCCGTCGCTGTTACTGTCCGCACTGTCGATGCTCTCAAAGTCCCAACCCTGCGTGAGGCACAGGGGGGGGTCACAGAAAACAGATCACCGAAAATCTCCATCTAGGTCATCAGCCCTTCTCGATTAGGTCCATTAGGAATGCCAAAAACTCAAATCAATGTACTCATTCTAATACAACGACTGTTCAAAATGGGGCTAAGGGCTCAGAGACACAGACCGGTTGGGGAAGGCCTAACATTGTTGCGATTGACGTGTTCATGGATTTAACACTACAGAAAGCAGCAGTTGAATACCACAATGTTTCCAGCCACAGAATACACAAATCAGAAGATATTTAGATTAAAAAAGGACTAGAACTATTACTTATGAAGAAATTATGACCAAATGGATGGATGGATGGAGTCACATGTACTTGTGTCACATGTTCAATTTAGCATGTTGGGTTATTGCGAGGATCTTACCCGCACCGCTCCATCAGAGCCCATTGTCATCAACTGCCCGTCTTCCAGCGCGAATGGCTGGACCGTCCCAGCATGGCAGCTCCGCCCCTCCCTACGGCAAATCTCCACCTTGATTCCATTCCCATCCCACAGCAGCAAGTTGCCCCAGTCTGAGCCGGACACCACCTGACAGGAGGAGACGGAGAGCGTCGAGGGTCAGAAGTTAATGTTATTTCTCCTAAAAAATTCAGGCTACACCCTGAATCGGTCGCCAGTCAACCGAAGGGATGATGCAGAGCCACCAATCAACCTGATCCCCAGAGCATGTCTTTAGACTGTGGGAGGAAGCCGGAGTACCCAGAGGGAACCCACACAGACACGGGGAGAACATGCAGACTCTGGGTGGAGTCGAAACCCGGACCGTTTTGCTGTGGGGCGACAGTGCTAACCAGCACACCACCGTGCCGCCCAACCAACTACTGCCATTCATTATTGTTCCCTGGAAGCCCGTTTCCCCAAAGGTGAAAAACAATTCACAAACCTTTCCATCAGGAAGTTCCACGAAGCCCTCGATATCAGTCGCTGCAGTTTTCCCAAAATGTCCAATGAGCCCTTGCAACTTAAGGCCGGTAAATGTGCTGGCTGTTTGCCAGAATCTGGGAGAGGGAGAGAGAGAGAGAGAGAGAGAGAGAGAGAGAGAGAGAGAGAGAGAGAGAGAAACATTGCAAAATGAAAATGACCCTCTGATTTGATTCAGGGTTTCAGGAGGAAACCGTGTGTCTTTTACTTGATGTGTCCAGATCCCGACGATGTGAGCATTCCAGGGTTGTAGGGGGAGAAGCTGACCCGGTAGACCTCCTGAGAAACGGCCTTGCAGCTCAGCAGCACCTTCTCCTTCCTCCAGTCCCAGAGCGTCAACATGTAGTCTGGGGCGCCCCCCACGCTGGCCAACAGGCTCCCGTCGGGGTTAAAATCCACAAAGCTGTACGCCCGTTCTGTTCCGCCTACGCACACGGAAGGTTGAGAGACTATCAACGATAGAACATCCCTTTTCAAAAAAGTATATCTCAATGCATCTGGGTCCCACTTACCTCTGAGGATGCAGAACGGTCGCAGCGAGGGGTATTCATATACTATGATGTCAGGCTGCTTTCCCTTCTCGGCTACAACAAAGTACTCCTTGCTAGGGTGTGCCTTCACATGCACACACACACAGAAATGAAATGTAAGCAACAATTGGTGATGCATTTTTTGTACACATATATGATAATGCAGCATAACACACAATTCAGCTTTTTATTAACTGCATTGTAATCTCAGTGACCTCATTTCAAATATTGTATCACAATATCATATATCATTCACCAAACATGTAAACGAAAATGGTCTAATACATATACAGTATGTGTACACAGGTGTTCTTGCAAAATGATTAATTAAATGAGGTAATTAACTCAATGAATTAACTTGAAATTACCATCTTAGGTTATCCTCAACTTTATTTTGCCTAAAGTGATTCCTTAGCAATGCTTGATAAATTGCAATGCTTGATTTATAGTGGTATTGTAATTCTGCTGATAAAACGTGCAGGTTGATACTGGAGAATGTTCCTCTTGCAGCAAATACTGCACAGTCACAACAGTACGAGTAGAGCCTCAGAATCACTTGCACGACACATAGTCTGGCAGCTTACCGTGATGGAGCCGATTCCTCCTCCACTGCAGGAGCGGAGATACCTCTGCTCCTTGGTGGAAACGTCCAGCAGGACGAGCAGGTTGCCTGCTATGAAGATCAGAGTTCTATCATCCAGGAGCTGCAGGTTCCCCCTGCGCCCACTGTCATAGCCAAACGAGTGACTGAATGCAGGATGCATCAAGGATCAACATCAGATGTCCTGAGGAGTCGGACATTGAAATAGACTTATTTTTTTTATCACAATGTATCACCGCTATTTTCTTAGCATGTTGAAAGGAGGTCAGAGGAAATGTAACATGAACTGATTTCAATTAAACAACTGATTTTGGATATTGAAGAAGGATACGAGAGGTGCAGGAGGTTTTCAGGGATTTCAGAGTCAGGTGTGATGTACGGTCTTGAGCGAAGTTCCTCGTACTTATAGTACATGTCTGCAGAGCGATGCTGTTTTGATCCTTCTTCAGCTTCTTCCTGCTGCTTCACTAAAGTGTTGGTCGTGAAGGAGGAAACATTTGAAGAGGAGAAACTCCATCCCCACTTGTAGAACAACATTATTGATAGACCCTATTGACAACAGCTTCCAGACACCTTCATATTAATCTTACTCTTAATAATTACGTTTTTTAAAGCAAAAATAGGTATTCATACGAATAAACAAGACTTTAGTAGGTTATCTACTATCACAAACCAACCATACAGGTCATTTGTCCCGCCCCTCGTCATCTGTGATTGGACAGCTGGGTAAATACTGACAAGCGGAGCATTTCACTCAATTTAACTAACGTTAAACGTTTTACACGCTTTAAATGCAAATAATAAAACGGTATCTTGCCCTCGGAAAACAAGTGGACAGCCCCTTAAGTTACCTTCAATGTTTTCCTGCAACACATTATCTGTGCTTTCTGCCGGTTCACCAACAGAAGTTGTCTTTTCCTCCATAATTTCCGCTGTTAACGTTGAATCAACGGATGCGCTACAAATCTGACCGAACGGCCCTGAATGTGACAACGAATTATCACACAGCGTTAGCAAATAACTAAAAATATATTTTCTAACGAATATTCATTGAAACGTTCCACGTGAAATGTAACTTGTTTAATGTCTGCCTGTCCGTTTTAGTTTAGAGGCGTTGCCGGGCAACAATCAATGCCACTATTCTACTACGCCTGCTGGTTAATGTAGTTCTCAAACTTTTCAGGAGGAGGCTTTTTATTGCTTAATGCATTTTTAGTTGTTTTTTCGTGGGATAAAAAAAACCCCAGAGTAAGTCAAATCATACTTTCAGTATCCTTAAGACAAAAGATTGCTAACGTTAAGGGTTAATATTCTACGTCTTGTCGACAATTACACTGTAGCGCTTTAAGAAAGTGTCTTCCATCGTTGCGACAACCTACACTTTACGGCAATGAAGGTGTCGCATGATTGGACGCTTTTGTGCCGTAAACTGTGCCGGTCAGAGAACGCATGGGACTGAGGTGAGACGTCGCGTGTATATGCCTGAAATGTAAACTACACGAGTAAAATAATGTATATTTTCTATAGTTTGCCTTACAGTTACATATAAACCACAGCAGGGCGTTATTGACAGTATTAATATGTTAATATCAAACGCATTGTTTATTACTCTACAACGTTAAACCAGGTTATTGCTTCGGGGGAAAAAAGTAGTCTCTTAAACGCTAATATTATCCGGTAACGTGTTGTCAATTTAAAACTAACCCTCATGAAGTTAGACTAATTTAACGTTACAATATGACAATTAACGGCATCGTATTACCAGCAAAACGTGATTACGTACCGGAATAGGAATGACTAACATAGTACCTTCATAGTGTTCCTGGGTCGTTAGCTGACGTTGATTAACGTTCGTAGCCTTAGTAACTTTAGGTCCTTTGTTTTTGTCTGTCGGCTTTTTGTTTTTACATTTCCTCATATTGTAAGAAATATCTTCCTCTGCAAAGTAGCCAAACTATCTTCCACTTTCCACCTAAGTTACTTGGTAAGAAATAGGCTTTTTATTAACCTTAAACTCTTGCATACTGAAATGCAGACCAGCTTTGGCCATATATTGAAGTTAGATACCTGACTCAGTAAAGACTGCAGTACTTGATCTTGGAATGTGTGTTTTAATTTCAGCAGACACTTTTACCTGAGATAGACTACCAGCCTCTAAGTAAATACACCCGAAAATATGCTGGACTTTGCCTCTGGAAATGTCTTTTGGGCCCCAGATTTCTAATTACTTCTATGTCTGTCTTTCTGCTCATTGGCCGTGTCTCCATTTATGATGTGCATTAGGATGGAGGCTAAATCCAAAAAAATCTATTCTCCTAAAGAGGGAAAGAAGTTTCCACAGAAAGGCAAAGGTAAGCTGTAGTTTACATGAGCCAGCTATGTACACTTTGAACAAGGTGTGTGACCGTCGTGTGTCTTTCTGTCCAGACTCCATGGGGACCAAACTGGGTGGCAAGCCGGGTGGTAAGAAGCCCTACAAACCCTTTAACAACACGGAGAGAAAGGGCAGACCAAAGGGCGGAGACGGCGGCAAGAGAGAACACAAATTTCCTTTCTCCAAAGCTGACGGGGGGCCACAGAAGAGGAAAATGCCATTTAAAGCCAAAAATAAAGAAGACGGTGAAGGTGAGAAAACCTGCCCAACGAGGAAGCATTTGTTGACATCTCATTGCTGCTGGATAGGACTGTCAAAATTGCTCAAAAAGGATGTTTGAATATTCGCTTTAAAAAAAAGAAAGATTTTCAAATATATTATATATATTATATTCGGTTGCGCATTAGACACGTCAATCCATCCATCGTCAAACCGCTTATCCTGCACACAGGGTCGCGGGGGGGCTGGAGTCCATCCCAGCCAACTTCAGGCGGGAGACAGGGTACACCCTGGATTGGTTGCCAGCCAATCGCAGGGCCAACACAGACACATACAACCATTCACACTCACATTCACACACCTACGGGCAATTTAAAGTCCACAATCAACCTGATCCCCAGGAGGGTTCTCTCCGGGTACTCCGGCTTCCTCCCACAGTACAAAGACACGTCAATAACAGGACAAATTAATACGACGAGACATAACTACTTTTATAGATCATTTATTTAAGTTTAAACTTATTTAACAACATATTACCTGCACAAAAATAAATAAATAAACTAATGGCCTCTTCTCGCTCGCGCGCACTTAAATGAACAGGAACAATAAACAAATGCTGATCAAGAGTTTTGTGCAAGCAATTTAAGGTCGCGATTCTTGTCCCAAATATGTCAGGCTTCATTCAGTGATTGAAAGGTTTTACAGTACCGACATTGAACGCTCCGAGCAAGCTGTGCTGTAAACATGGAACGTTTCCTTGGCATTAAACGGCAAATAATCAAAGCAGCGCATGAAGCTGTTGTAGCCGATCTAGTCTATTTTATTCGTGCAATATACAGTCAGTAGTCGGGCAAAACAAAAGGGATATAAACAACAGGATTTTTTCAACTGCCCGGCACTTTTGCCGTCGTGTCTACATTTAAACTCGTGTGAAATCATGTTACGGGATTTTCATGTGTGTGTGTGTTCCATCAGGTCCGGTGTTCAAAAAGATGAAGAAAGGCGAGTTTGATCCAAAGAAGAAGGAGATGACTGAGGAGGAGCTCAAGAAGAACAGGCTACAGATTAAGAGGGATCTGAAGAATACCAGACAGGAGGCGGAGAAGAAGGACATGTTCCAGATTGTCCGTCAGTGCAAACAAGTGTGGGGGGACCTCAGGAGGTACACACACACACACACACACACACACACACACACACACACACACACACACACACACACACACACACACACACACACACACACACACACACACACACACACACACACACACACACACACACACACACACACACACACACAGAGGGCTGGCACGATATAACATTTTGGCTGTGCAATTATTGCACCAACATTTATTGCGATATTATTGTAATTTTATGACCATTTTATGCCACTGATAACATAATGACAATATAATAGCATAGTAATAAAAGTACGCTATTTCAAAGAACAAAGAATATATTCTATATCACTGGTTCTCTTCACGTGTCGGTGTCTGCGCGCTGCCTAAGCCCCGCCTCCGCTTTCCACAAGGAAAAGGTACGGAGGCAGCGCAATCAACTTAAATGTTGGTGATGTTCACTTATATGTAAAGTGAATACGTCCATCCCGGGAGTGGGATCCCTCCTCTGACGTTCTCCTTAAGGTGTCTTCCCTTTTTTGTCCCTCTTTGAAGGATTTTTTCTTTTTTTGGGGGAGTTTTTCCTGTGCCGATGTGAGGGTTTTGGGACAAAGGATGTCGTATGTGTACAGACTGTAAAGTCCTCTGAGGCAAATTTGCGATTTTGGGCTATACAAAATAAAATTAATTGAATTGAATATCACAGCACCACAAATTACTGCACGTGATTTCAGAGAGCGTTATGTCATTATATGTCATTTTATCGCATATTGCGACAGGCCACACGCACAGAAAGTGAGAGTAAACCCTGAACTCTTCGCCTTTCCTTAGGCTCCTTTTTTTAAAGTGAACGTTCAGTGGAAACAGCCAATGTGTGTTGTAAAGCAGTGTTTCCTCCACCGTTATTATATAGTTTACCCACGTTGGAAAATGTTGGTGTCCGATTGTGTCCTCCTGCGCCAAAAGCTGTAAACCTGTAAAGCCACATGTAAGTCAAAAGGGAAAGGAGAGCAGGGGACGCAGTTCACCAGAGGTTAAAACTTTTATTCTTCCTCACTTTTGGGACTGTGTCGAGATGTAGCAACAAAGAAAACAAGAGGTTCAACCCGGTTCCACTTTTGTTGGCTCAACATCCAGCAAGACATTTGTATTGAGTGAATCAAACAAGCATGCACTCTGTTCACTGATGAAGATGAGGATGATTGTGTGTGTGTGGGTCAACAGGAAGAAGTGCGACAACGATTTAAAGAAAAAACTGATGACTGAGCTTCACGAGCTGGTCCGCGGGAAGATCAAAGAGGTGAGTCTTTCTCGTGCTTCACCCGTTCACCGCAGATTACCTATTTTGTGCGTTCCTTCCGGAACTGGTGCTCACTAACCCAGCGGAACCCCGTCATTGGAACAAAAACTTCTAGTAGCATATTTGGCCCTGTCAATCCAACCTTTTTGAGATGTTATATTGATGCACTTGTACATACATAGGTTTATTCCTCAGTTATTATAACACTAGATTAATCTGGTTAGTGGCTGAGATTTGACAAAGTCCCACCATGTTGTAATGTAGTAGATGACTGTGCCCTCCTGCCTCCAGATGGCGTTTGCTCACGACTCTGTGCGAGTGCTGCAGTGTTTCATCCAGTTCGGCAGCCACGAGCAGAGACAGGAGGTGTTTGAGGAGGTCAAAGGTGAACATACAAGCTTTCGCTTCTTCATCCGCTACCCTTTTAACTGCGCCGTTGTTGTTGTTGTTGTTGTATCTATCTGCATGGCTGTGATTTCCATGTTTAAAACTACTGTTGAATTAATCTGACCGCTGCAGTCATTGTGCTTTTGTACGTTTCTTAACTGGAGATTTCAAGTGTCTGGTATAGTTTAAGGAGAGGTTGCAGGTTTTGGGAAGGAGTGAGGCAAACATGAGGGATTTTATCTGCAACGACATCGTTTAGCTTTATTCCTGTCAAGCAGCGTCTGAGACATGAATGTGATGGCTGGAAGATCCATAGCTGACATACAGTCCAGCTCCTGGTTTTCTACCTTCGCTGTATGTGTGGAGCAGCTAATTGACAAACATAAATTCTGGGTTCTTTGTTGTCTCCCACAGATGATGTCATCAATTTGTGTAAGTCAAAGTACGGCAAACACGTGGTGAAAAAGCTGCTGATGTACGGGTGAGTCCGCTCGGATTGCTGTCTGCTGCTTCTCGCGTTCAGCAGACGTCTGTGTTCAAATCAGACAAAGATTTGGTCCAATTAAACGATATAGGTGTGATGTGATTTACGCAGGAACAAGGAGCTGGTGGGGCTTGTGATGCTAACATTCAAAGGTCACGTGCGGCAGATGCTTCGCCACGCCGTGGCCTCGTCCGTCATCGAGTACGCCTACAACGACAAAGCCGTCCTCGCGCAGAGACTCATGCTCACCGAGGGGCTGTACGGGAACACCTTCACCGTCTGCAGGGTACGCACACAAATACGCCTGAGCCAGATTACACACCACGTTTTTAAACACTTTACCTAATGACTGTGTATTGGATCAGCTGCTGTTACGTGTGTGTGTAATAAATGCTGCTGACTGACCGATTGCTGTGGACGCTTCTCTGCCTGTGCGTCCAGTCTTCTGTATGCAACACCATCGAGAAAGTCGCAGAGGCGAACCCGGACAAGCTGAAAAACATCATCGACGACATGAAGCAGATCCTCACGCCCATGGCTCAGAAGTAAGGCGAGAAAACAAATGTCAAATCTGCTTTGATCAAGTTCAACGTTTTTGTTAATTTCTTGGAGAAGTTAAACCTGTTGAGAAACTGTACACAATTTTATTTTTATTTATTTATTATTCCCTATTGTATCGGGATGATCGTTATTGTATTCTTTAAGGTTTTTTCCACTACCGATGCTAAACCGATACTTTTATTTTTTTTTAAAACACACGACAACAATTGATGAAATGAAAGTTTTTTTTTATTATTGCCAAGTCAAATTTTTTAACTATAAAGAAAGAAAACAACTTCACAACTTCGGCCCAGGCACCAAAATCTGCGTTCGTATTGGAGCTGGTACCAATATGGCACTCAGTACCAACCCTACTATTGTATGAGATGTCATTCGCTTCACTATGTAGAATTGTTATTCATGCAGCTACAACCTTTGTTGTTGTATTTCAGAGAACAAGTGATCAAACATTCACTGGTCCACAAAGTCTTCCTGGATTACTTCCAGTTTGCACCCGACAAACCGAGAGCGGTAAGAAGCTCTTTATCATCCTGTGACATGTCGCATTATATAAATATTTCAGGAGTAAGACATTTATCTGGTAATGCTTTAAAGAAGCTAAAGTGTGCCGTAAAAATACATCTGGTTTAATTTGTCTGAAGACAAATATGACATGATGTGGATACATGAAGTGCTGACACGTGTCTTCTCTTTGATTTGTGTTTGTTCGGATGTGAGCAGGAAATGATTGAGTCTATCAGAGAGTCTGTCGTCTACATGGCTCACACACACGATGGAGCACGAGTGGCAATGCACTGTTTCTGGCACGGGACAGCCAAGGTGCGTGTACACACACACACACACACACACACACACACACACGCCGACCTCCATGTGGATCTCTAGTCGGTGGTAAATGTAGATGACTGAAGCAAATGATTGCTTTGCTTTCTGTGTAGGAAAATGTCTTTCTTGGCAGTGGCCACGTGTGACAGGATGTTTTGAGCTGTATTCTAGCGGCCAAATTCTCGTGCACGGATCCAGCTTTCTGCATCCGTCTCTTTCTGCTGCATTTCTTTGCAGATAGCCTTGAATAGATATTTATTCACTTTCCGGTTTGAAAAAATTGCCATGTTTCGTCAAACTGTCAAAAAAATCCAAAAGAACCATCAACACAATTCATTGTGGGAAAAATATCACTGTATAATTTGTAAACTTGTTCTTTCAAAGGTGTAATACATATTTTGTGTTTCAGGACAGAAAAGTCATCATTAAAACTATGAAGACTTACATGTTGAAATTTGCCACGGTGAGTTCTCAATGCTGCTCCTTTCCTTCATAACAGAAACACGCTTTCAGTACTTAATGGTAATTATTTAGAGGAAAGGTCTGAATCCAGCATGTCCTTCACTCACAGGGCGAATTCGGTCACCTGGTTCTTCTCGCCATGTTCGACTGCGTGGACGACACCAAGCTTGTCAAGCAGGCCGTGCTCTCAGTAAGTCTTGATTTGTCCTTTGATTCCCGCCGATGGTCCTGGTGATTGAAATCACAAGGATTCAGAAAATCAAACACCGTGTGAGAAAAGTTCTCGTCTCACCTGTTCAGGAGATCCTGGCGTCTCTGGATGAGGTAATTGGTAATAAATATGGTAAGAAGGTTTTGCTGTACTTGCTGAGTCCCAGAGACCCCGCCCACCTGCTGCCCGAGATCATCAAGGTGCTGCAGCAAGGAGACGGAAACGCCCACAGGTAACAGCGTTTGTGTTCACAGACTCAATACTCTGTTTTGCCCCCCCCAAAAAAATAAAAATTCTGTTGAGTTTTGCAATTACATATTTTTGGACGCTTTGAGCACATCAAACCACGTGCCATCTAGTTAAGAGAAGACCTCTCATTGGCAAATATCTCCCAGTGAGCTGAATCAAAGCTTCCTGAAGGAAGAACATGGATCATTTAGCAGAGGGGGATTTTTATTTAAGGTCCGCTCCGTTTTCCTCTCATTAGTAAAAAAGACATGAAAGTTCGGAGGAAGGAGCTGCTGGAAGTCGTCTCCCCCCCGCTGCTGGAGCATCTCCGGGACAATGCTGCGACCATGGTGACGGACAAGGCGTCCAGCGTCCCCATTAGTGACATCCTGGCGTCGGCCTGCGGCGACCTGCGGCCCGCCATGACGGCCGTAGCTCAGCTGGCCAATCACGAGTTGGCACCAGGAGGGGTCGATGGACAGGTACAGTGTGTGTCACTAATGTAATCCAACAAAAAGAGCCGTTTTTCACTCCCGGGTTTTGGTTTCTGCTGCAGCTTCACATGGCGGAGCATCCGGCTGGACACCTGGTGCTGAAATGGCTCATAGAGCAGGACATGACTCTGGCTGAGGCCGGCAAGGAAGGTACGTTTAGTGGTCGTCATGAGCAGGGCTCTGGATGTTAGCATGCTGTGAGAATAAACAGAGACTCGCAGGAAATAACTATGTACTTCTGTTGGAAAATTAGAATCATGGACACTGGAAGTGTTCAAGAGCTTGTGTGCCACACACACACACAAATGAGATCATGTGTGAAATGATTTAATCACCACTGGAGGGCATCAACCAACATCAGTGACGTTTTCAACATACACCATAATGTAAAGAAATCCAGGTGGAGTCATAACGCTGTCCGTCTCTCCCTCACTTTGTCTCAGAGCGGTTCAGCAGGATCTTGTTGGACACAGTGGGAACCGACATTCTGAAGACCTGGGTCAGAGTCAATAGAGGAGCCATGGTGCTCTGTAGGTCAGTGTGAGCGCACATACACACACACCTGTTACATCAAGGATCAGTTCACCCAAACTACAAGCCCATCGGTTAATACTGTTACATTTTGGGTTAATGCGGAACCATAAGAGCGTTAAAGCTCAAACTATCTGCATGGAGAGCTGCCATCAAGGGGGAGAACCATCGTCCGTGGCAAGGAATTGCCTCTTTTAGTGAATGTACATTAACTGAGAAATCAGAATTTAATGCCCTTTGTCATCCATCAGTCTGCCTTGCTAGCATTAATGCCATAATTTGAACAAACCTTTCTGCACCATCCCTTCAGTTGAAAAGGGTAAGATTAAACATGGACGTGCCACCAAATAAAGGAAGTTATCTGCTTATCGTTGCACTGGCCAAACTCAAACATTAAAATCACTGGTTGAAGGATGCATCATTTTAATATCTTTTTATCTGTGCACAGCATGCTGAACAGCTACGACAAGTCTGTGGCCGCAGAAGTGAAGGCGGCGTTGGCGTCCATCAAATCGGAACTGAGCAGCATCAGCAACAACAAAGGAGCTGAAATTCTGCTGGAGAATCTGAACAAGTAGACTTTTTGATTGGCAAACAGACTTATTATGTCAAAAGGCGCCATTTCCTGTGCAGCAGGGGGTCTTTCTCCCCAGAAAACGGGAACATTTTCCGGAAGTGGATGCACCATCGCCAAGTCTGTCCCTGATGGAGAAATGGACGGGCATTTGAGTAATGACACATTGGAGGTGATGCCTCGTATGACAGCAACAATACAGTGTAATTCCTTCGATGAAACGTAATATTTGAACAAATAAAACATTGCTATGACTAAATACAACTACGTTTTCCCCGTGAGTGAAATGGCCTGGGGAGTTATTTCAATTCTTTTGTACCGTTCTGTGATTGCATCAAATGCTGAATTAAATTTTGACTAAAACTTGCCTGTTCCAGTCTTCATGCTAAGCTGACTCATAACTGGTATTCAAGGACTAATGGAACTCTTTGCAAGGCAGCCGCACGTCGTCTCCTGATCAACATGCTGTTTATTATAGCAGAGCCCATAAAACCATTAATCCTGTGAAACCATTAAACGGAGGACTTGGTATTAGCACTTCTGCTCGGGGATGCAATCGGTCCAATATTTGCTCTTGAGTCCTGGCTTATGAGCTTTGTCGCCTGTTGGCCGGAGGAAGAGTAGAGGTCAGTGCCACCGACAGCTTTATTATAGATTGACACGAATATAAGGATAACTATATAGCTTAAGTATGACAGGAAAGACATCTTTTTTTTCAATCTTCTCCACAGCCCACAGATTCATTTACTCCCCTTACATTAAAATAGTTCCAGAGCGTTGGGGACAAACCGCTGACTGCGCAGTGTCCACGTGTTGAAACGACCTACAGAATGTTACAGGTATTGTCCTGATCGCCTCCCTGACAAACCACCACAGCAGACTTTGTGAAGCTACGACCTGCTGCGCTGCAGGCGGGATGTCTTCGGCTGAGCGGCGTCCTCGTAGCACTCGGCCAGCCTCTTGGCGGCCCTCTTGGTGAAGTGCATCTTCCCGCGGGCCTTGGTGACGGCGGCGTACTCGTGGGACTTGAGCTTGGTGTAGTAGTCGGAGAACTTATTGTAGAGGATGGAGATGGGCATCCCGTTGAGGATGACGCCGAAGGAGATGCAGGCGAAGGCGAAGACGCGGCCCAGGCTGGTCTCGGGGATGACGTCGCCGTAGCCCACTGTGGAAATACTCACCTGAAGAGACACAACCAGAAAATACTTAATATAACCCAAGGCTACTCAGTCAGATTATCTACTATAGTACTTGTCTAATTCACAGGCTCCTGAAGTTCGTGTCAGGCAACAGTTCATGTCTAAGAAACATTTTTATTGATACATTTGCACTGTAGATGTTGAAGCCACAACGACTTCTGTGTGTGTGCGTGTGTGTGCGTGCACACTCACTGCGGCCCACCACCACGCGTGCGGCATGGAGGTGAAGTTGGTGTTGTACACGTCGTGCTCCACCGTGTACACCATGGCGGAGAACATGAAGATGCCCATGGCGATGAAGAGCAGCAAACAGCCCACCTGAACCCAAACGAAATACATTTCCCCGTCAGCAAGCGTGAGGCCGTCGGGCCGTCGGGCCCCTGGGACGCAGGTTGTGTGCGATGCATGTAATGGTAAAATATGTTATAACATTGTCTTGTGCTGAACCCGTGTCTCAAGTGTCCGTATTTGAGGACGTGCAAAGGGCAGCATGATAGAAAATGTTAGTTTGAAGCAATACAAAGGACTTGTTCGTGGCCTCGGTTCATATGTTATTTGGTACGAAAGTTTTCAGATCCACGTTTCTACTTTGTGTCAATTAATTATAATTTGCACCTGCTACTGAGGATGATCTTGCTGTGTGTGTCTTACCCTCATCTTAACCGTGGTTTGCAGCTTCTCGTACCTGCCACTGAGGATGCCCTTCACATGTGTATAAAAACTCAGCGTTCTTACTGCTCGGAGACGCCATTTACACCGAACGCTGAAATACGTACTTGTGTGTTCGACCTCCTGCTCATGTAATCTTTTTCTCTTCTACATAAATGTTAACTTTTTGACTTTAATTAACGTGTTGCGATCCTTCTCATCAACCAACTCGGGGGGATCGGAGATCCACATGCACGCACGCACGCACCTGGTGGTAGCACTGTCTCAGCGTGAAGCCGAAGGCTCGGAGGCCCGTTGAGTGACGAGCCAGCTTCAAGATCCGGAAGATCCGCATCAGACGCATGATCCTCAGAACCTGACCCAGCTGGAGAAAAGACATACCGTTGTAGTCATCTCATCCCAGCCTCCCCCTCCGTCACCCCCACCTCTTACCTTTCCAACACGTGACACGGCCTCGATGTCCCCCGAGTGCAGGTGCATGTCTTTGTCCTCGAAGCACTCCAGCATCAGCTGCAGGTAGTGCGGCAGGATGGCGACCAGGTCGACGGTGTTCAGCACGCTGCGTGCGAAGCACTTCAGTTCGGGGGTGGAAACCAGGCGCAGCAGGTACTCCAGGGTGAAGAAGCTGATGCAGAACGACTCCACGTTCTCGCCGTAGAACCGGCTGCTGAGCTCGCCCGACGCCGTCTGCAGGAGTGAAACAAAGTTAGTGGATGTTGGATTTGAAAAGTCTTGATTTGGCCCAGTGAACTCAGAGAGATCATCATCATCCTCCATGTTTTTACACATTTTCTTTTGATTTAGTTGTATAATGGCACGGTGTACTTGTAATACCCACCTTGTACTGCATCTCCTCCACCGTGTTGAGCGTCATGGTGACCAGCGAGACCAGCACGAACATGGAGGAGGCGACCGCCATCACCTTGGCGGTGACGGAGGAGAACGGGTTCTCCATCATGTTCCAGATGTTCCTCCGGGTCGGCCCGAAGGCCAAGCCATCAAACAGCACCTCGTTCTCCTCCATCTCCAGCTGGACCACACGCAGCAGAAATGCATCTCATTCAGAGTAACAAACAGGAGAAACACGTCAAGATATAAATACATTAGTTTACAACTAATGCCAATCACGGACAATTCCGCTTTTTGAAGGATAAAAAAACCCCGGAAGAAACGGAGGACAGACGGACCAAATGTCTGGATCACAAACTATGACGGAGAGAACGGAGCAGGATGGAAACTGGTACGGCAAACTGCATCAGAGTGGGACCTCTGCGATGGAAACATCTGTCTAAATCTGTATCTGTGCCAAGGAAAGGATTGCTCGCCGCTCTCCATCTGTCGAGACGCCGCAGCAGAGCAGTGATTTGTAATGTAGGGCAGCCAGAAGATTACTTACAAAATCTCACAGGTACAAAAGCATTAACGGCTGCACCACTGAAGCTGGATGGGCATCATTCTTATTGTTTTGTTGCTTTATTACTGGGATGTTTGTTTTAATTAAGTATCAGACTTGTTTGTTGAAACACTTATAGAATAATATTAATTCTAAGGGGATCGTCAAATACCAAGAGGCATTTTACGACAAATACTCATTAATTCCAGCAACGTCCTTTAGTCTTTTTTTATTCTAATCAAATTTTTCAATTAAGCAATCTGAAGACAAAAAGGTTTTAGAGGTCAATGATAATGTTTCAAACACTGTTGTTCCTCCACTGAGGTTTCGGCCTTTCCTCAGATCAATAATAATTCAGAGACCTGGAATCTGGATACAACTCTCATTGTTTTCTATCCTCCCTCACAAGCCTATTTCCGAAACACATTTAGGAAAAACCTCTGCTATGAGCTCGCTCTGGATCTTCAGCTGCTCGTTGAGCTCATCCTGCCTCTCTTCGAAGGAGATGCGGCAGCAGCGCTGGCTGTTTCGGATTCGGACTCCCCAGTAGTTTATCTCCTCTAGGAAGTTGTGGGGACACAAGTCGTCTTTAATGCACAACACTCCGGTCCTGATGGGGAGGACAGAGACACACGGGAACGCAGCCCAGAATTATTAGTCATATGAAGGAGACGGAAAATCCCCTCTACTCTCATCTCGCATTTCAGTTTTAACCTGTAGAAGTTGAAGATGTTGTGGAAGACTTTTGGGTCCCTGTCGAAGAAGAACTCATTGCTCTGGACGACGTAGTCGTCACAAAGGTCCAGCTTCCTGCTGTGGTCCGTGTACGTGGCCAACTGGCCGATGCGCGTCTTGGGGTACTTGGCTGCTAACCTGTAGGGCAAGTAGTACACCTGGAGGAGAGGCAAACACGAGGGAGTAAGCGGGGACCTCATGAAGGTCAACGACATATTTACAATAGAAATGAACCTCTTGGAGCACAATGTCTTACTGGTTTAGTTCGACCATCAGCGACACGTGTAATGAATTTACAAAAGCAGACGTTCACCTCAGAGAGGCTGAATAGCTACATCGTAAAAGTAGGAGCGATGCAAATAAAATTGCAGCTGTAACACGTACTGCCAGCAGGGGGCGCACAACTTAAGCAATATGTTTCTAAGCCTGTCGGAGACGACTTCCACGCATCAACATCCACAGGCCTTTAACTGCGGGTGCTGTTGCTTCACTTTCCCACAGGTGGCGCTGGTCAGCAGGCGTAGAACCGATGTGAAAGTGATGGAGCAGCGCCCCCTGGTGGAGAATGTGCAGCGCGCTAATGTGAACGAGTTGCAATAAAAACATTTTAAAAAGTTACCGTTCCTCCCACGTTGATGTTGAGAGTGAAGTGTTTTTGCGGAGAGAGCAGCAGGCGGGAGGGAGACACGGGCAATTGGTCCTCCAGCTCCTCGCTTTCGTACTCGGCATACATGTCGTAGATGTCTCTGCCCAGATCCTTCACAAACAACACAACTCGACGATGAATTAAGCACTTCAAGATTGTGTACAAGGTGAACTAGACAACATAAAACAGGTATCAAATCAAGCAGAAAACAGCAGCGAAACTGGGATTAAGATGTATGTGAAAAGTGGATGACTCATTTTATGCATATATATATTATGTACAAATAATATAATAATATGAGACCTATGGATAAAGATCATTAATAAAGAAAAAACATTTAAATACCTAGTCTGTGATCAACGTACATTACATTTTTTATAGCATTTTCAATAATTGTTTTACATATTATGTAAATAGTTAATGAACCACGAAAAGTAAAGCTTTCACGTCTTTGCAAATATGTGAATTTGCTGATTAAGTTTTTTTTTGGGATTGGCTCTGCAACATCAACCAACGATAACATTGATATGTTGAATTACATTAATTTCCTGACTTACCCATAACCACTAGCGGCCTGATCCCAACCTGAAAACTCCAAACCAAGTCACCCCACTGAGAAATCATTTACGTTATGCCGTGCATTTCCACGTTTTGTAGTCAGACTGACGTCCTCTACGTTGAAGGAATGAAATGTCTGACCTGCATGGAGTTCCATGGCTTAACAAAGGCGTTGGTGAAGTGCAGATAGTCGGCCGCGTCTTGGGCGGATTGATCCGGGCCTCCTGCCTTGTAGCCCGGGAACAAACTCCTGCTCCGGGCTCGGATGTGGGTCAGCATGGCTCGCTCGCTCCCGGGTCTCAAATCAAACCGCTGGAAGACACGTCCTCGCAATCCTCGACACCATCTCAGACGTCCATCGCTGGTAGTTTACACACACACACACACACAAGACAGTGGAGAAGGACTTAAGTGTTTAAACGTTTCCTTGCCTGTTCACTAAGAAACAATGTCAACATCAGTACAGCTGACACACACAGTAATAAGGTAGGGAAGGATTCTGGTCCTCTAATGCAGCCGACTGAGATGATGTGGGAGCTTATCCTCTTACGTCCATCTCTTGACCTCCTGCTCTCCTCCCACGTGTCATAATTTAGTCTGCTCATCCCGGACTCAAACTGATGGTTTCATTTGGTTTCTTTAACAAAAGGAACACAAAAAAAAAAAAGTCTACAGCCATGTGAACTGCTTTGCTCAAAGCCGTAAGCAGAACAATTAGCGAACAGAGTAATGGTGAAGATATTAAGGACGACAATAGGTTTTATTGAGGCCTTCTGAAGTGTTTCTAGTTGTCATTTGAAGAGCAGCAAGTACCTGATGTGCAGTAGTTATTACATCATAGGTGATCTATTGTGTGGCACAATAGAGAGATTTAAATTAAATCTCCAGTGAGCACAACAGCCGGTGCGGACAGCAGGTTCTTATTGACAAACTGTTGGTGCAGCTCATTTGATAGATTTGTTGGAGGGGGGGGGTTGGACCAAAGTCCCGTAGAATAATTTAACTATTTACGACTGAAGTTAAAAGAAAAAAAGAAAAAGGTTCCATCAGGAGAATCTGTTGCTCTTCAGGTCAGTGGCAACGGGGAGGGTTTAGAACACATTGTGTTCTAAATAAGAAAGCCCTCACTAAAGGGAAGAGGCCTGCACACTCTGTACATTTTAATCTCAACTGCAGTCCTTACGGTTTATGTTTTGTGATCCACTGCGCGCACAGAGGAACTTTCAGTCACATTAGCGCCGCTGATAACACCGGCATTGCTCGTTCGGCTTTCTGGATGGTTTTAAATAGTTGTCTTTAACGCATTAAATGAGAATGTAACATGGACATTTAAAATACCCCAGACACCTTGTACTGCAGCTTATCCATGGTGTCCAGCATCATGCACCAAAATCTGGTGTGTAGCATCTTTGAACATCTGCAAAGCGACATTACCAAGAAAAAAAATAAAGCGATAATTCTAAAAATGAACAAATTTTAGCTCACTTAATTTCTGAACAATATTTTCCTTTATTAGACTCAACCTAAAAACTGGTGCATGTCACAGTGTTTCATAAAGAGACTCAACACATGGATGAGGAAGACAAAAAAGTTTAACAACGTTGTAGATTAAGTTTTAATTTCAAATGTCAAACTAGTTTCTTCACAGATACAGAGCTTTGAAGTTTCAATCGTATTCCCCTCACTGTACAAGGCTAGAAAAAGTCCACAGCAACAGCACAAACATACAAAATACTGTTCCTTTTACCAAATTCAGTTTAAGCTTTTTTGTTTAAATACCTCTCAACTCAGAACGCGGTACGAGGCCCAACATAGCAAAAAAACAAAAACTGATTAAAGTCAAATGTATACAATCTTATTTACACAAGGAACATTTGATCAAAGTGCATTGAGGAGTCCTGATTGACGGTCATATCTGAGGGATTGTGGGCAATATATACACGTTTACAAATGCTGTAACCATGGCAATCCTTACGCAGCTTCTATAAATATAATTATAATAAAAAAAACTGTCTAATAAGCTTGTAAGAATGCACTCCATGAAGTACTGTTGGAAAGAAAGAGTGCAAAACGTAGATCAATTATATCCATGACATTACTGCCAAATACATGACAAAAAACATAAATAGTGGACAGTTTCCACTCTTGGCCCTTTTCACACGTCAGGTGTGATGACGTCCCAGATCCCGTTTCACGTTCCTGCCCAGCAGAGCCGATCCGTTAGACGCAGGGTGTGTCTGTCGCCCGGTGAGGATCAAATGCACCGGGTTACACGCAACGGTCGTGAAAAGATGGCGAATGACTCCTTTGAGAAGACTGGAGGGGGGTGGGGGGGCAGACTGACAGCAAATACCCCAACATTTGCAAACAAAAAAACACCTTTAACAGTTATGGCCACGTAATTCATTGTAGTAGTCACATTATAAATAACATTTCCTCAAGTCATCCTCTCCACAGATAATGACATAATGCACTTCAGAAGGCATGTGGTCGGAGTGTAAGGGCTGCTGCAACGGACAACCGTCGGCATGGGAACAAGGCGATGCCATCCAACGCTACGAGTCGCCGTAAAAAGAAAGAATCCTTTAATCATAATCCTAGACGATCATGATAAATCGTCCTCTGTGCTCACTATCGAGATCTGGAGAAAGAGGGAAAGGAGAGAAAGGTTCATTCAAATGTCTGTACATGTAATCATGTTCAAAGTGAAAACACCTCTACATTTTAAATCAAACAGGTCGCATCTTGGCTGTTACAGCTTCATAAACAACGAGTCCATGTTACGCTCAGTCTGGATTTACATTCATCTGTAATCCACGTGCACTCAATGCTCTAAGGATTACTAGGTCAAGAGGGGGGGGTGGGAGTAGAGGTCACTGACATTCTGTCTCAATCATCTGGGCTATAACATGATTGAAACTACAGTTGGAAATACTGCCTTAAATTAGTCAAAACATATTCCCCTAAACTCCAGTTCCTCTGGGAGTGTTACATGAAGCCTCTTAAACGGTGCCCTTTCCTTTGTTTAGACTAATGTCACACTAGTTGCTTTCATGGTACAACACGTATGCAGTAAAGTTATTCACTCAAGGCTTGAACAGTTAGTAAAATACAAAAACAGACAACGCTGAAAGGAATGTTCTTCTGAAAGCGCACAAAACTAAACCGATTCAACTGCGTAATGACAAATCCACACGGCACCGGTGTGAATGTTGACAATTACTGGAAAGGCGCCATTGGCTTTTCCATTCCTAAAAAAAATAAAGCATCTGGTCATCCTCCAATAACGTTATTACAGTAATTTTCTTGTGTTCAAAAGATTTCACTTTTAAAAAAAGTGCATGAATTCCCTAAAAAGCTCAAAGAATAGTAACTAAGGAGCTACTAGGATATCTAGTTTGGTAGCTAACGGCAACCATTCTAGATCAAAATCCCTTAAAACATCCTAAGGAAAACCATATGGTAATATTTTAAATGGTTTAGTGTAACTGGCCACCGATGTTACTTATCAAAACAAGCGCTCCTTACATCACTGAAGAACGTGCGGCATGATTTCGGCGCGTACGGCTCCAACTGAGCGTTTTTGGGATCAGCACATGGGACCGACGAGTCTTTAAAACACGACGCAATGCGCTACAAGGTCGGCCACTCACCGCAGGGTAGGTGTGACCCACGTTGGCGCCGTGCCGGGTGATGTCAATGTTGAGGTCTTCTTCTGTGGTTTTCAGGTAGACTGGGTTGTCAAAGTTCATGCTCTTCTGGTTCCTCAGCTGCCAGTTCCTCCACATCAGGTAGCCGCCGCCCGCCGCCATCGCCAGCAGCACTGAGCAGAACCAGAGGGACACAAGCGCCGTCAGACACTCTGCAACAGTTCCAGCGCTGACAGGCGGGTGTGTGGTTCCCACATTAAGGAGTGTGCGATGAGCCTGGTAAATGGATTTGCTGAAGGGGCTCTAGTTAAATTAACACAACTGCTTTTACAGATCACACATGGTACCCATGTTGGTGAAAGTGTGTGTGTGTGTGTGTGGGGCTTGTACGCACAGACGGGCAGTATGGCCCAGGCAGCAGCAGACCCTCTGGCTGTGGAGTCCACCTGGATCGACGTGCCCACGTTGGACTCTGAGACAAAAAAGAAACCAAATGTTTAGTCACAAGTTGGACAGAAGTGCTGATCTAAAAAGGCCTCAAGGGAAGGACTTCTATCTGAGGGGAGACAATGGTCGGGATCCATCACTCTTGTATCCACCAAGAAGAGTAATAATATATATTAAGTGAATATAGCAAACATCGGAACCAGATATGGTCAGCGGGACGCAGCCTCTGGGTGTTTGGCTGTCAGCGGCGAGTGAGTGACACGACTTGCAAACAGCTCGGCTGAAAGACTCCAGGACAAAAGATAAAACACTGGGTTTGTGAACTCTCGTTCTTCCTGCCAAGTGGAGGCTGATGTCATCAACATGCAAACTACAAAATGTTACTGCGTTCCAAGAAGCTGCTTTGCCTCGGCTTCTATTGGCAACAAGTCCAACGTGGAGCCTCAAACCAGTAACATTTTATCAGTCCAAATTCTATCCTCCCTTGTTAGAGAATTGAAGCCAGAAAAAAAAAAACTCATAACTACAACGCCTGTAGCCTTGGTAAAATATTGCATGGGGCGGAGTAACACACATTTGCTTTTCTAGTGAGAATTTCCAGCAGCAAGTCTGTGCATGCGGGACCAAGTTAAATAAAGCACCATTGTTTAGTGTGTGTACGCACATGTACATGTACTTTGACCATTGAGATGTAGGCACAAGATCATCAGTTCTAATAGAGAATTTATTTTGCTCCTCTTCACATACAAATCTGAGTGTGTGCAGTAATTTAAATTTATATCCACGGTGGAACTTGGTGGGGGTTTGTACTTCCTAGCGTTGGCCACTAGGTGGTGCTCTCCTTGCAGACAAACAGTCGCTGGAGTTTAAGGCTGGACTGGGGATTAATATCCAGAATGTCGTCATCAACTCACAAACATGCTCAACACACCGTGCAGATGCATCCAAGAGACTGAGCGGAGAAACATTTCACCGCCAACTTTGCTTCAACAAGGAAAACAACGTCAAACTAACCTAATTTAAGTCATAAGTGCTGTAATCCGAAGCAAACAAGGACGCCGCGAACCTTGTGTTGCTTATTAGGGGCCCTTTTCATGAGTAATTTACCAGCGGCTCTTTTCATAGTGAGAAGTAGGGTTTATTCTAGAAATCAGACTTTAAAACTAGTCTGAAACGTTAGCAGCGTCAAGGCCTTCCACAACACATTGAGGTGAGCAACATAAAGCCATATTCTCCTTTCATGGCACATTTTTGCAGAAAAACAAAAACCGGTAAATGTAGGCTGAGCAACAAGGACACACGGTTATGAAACAAGAGCACACAGCTGCAACGTACAGCCAGTTAGAAGCATGCAAAGTTAGAAACGAGGCTGAAGACATTCAGCAATAACAGACCGAAGGATAGTTTGAACAGAACAATACCTTCAAAAACAAAAGTTAAATTCAGTCTGAGAAGACTTCAATAATTGATTAAGAACTGCAACATATATGAATGTGCGTCATAACAACAAAGCAGACTGGAGTCATTTCAGAAACCCAAGACAGGAAAAATCATTCAAGCCAGAATATTAAAAGCTGTAAACTTTACTGTCAGCGTGGTAAGAAACAGAAATGTTCAGCAACCATCAGCCAGAAGAGGACAGATTATCCGTTTAATAAGCAAACAGAAAAACGCCTGATTCGACGGTAGGCAAGGAGGAGAGTTTTAATTCTTAAACAAAGCCCAACATGCTTCAGAGAGTCAGCAGCCGACGGTTTTACCTGGAGGGGGGTGCGTCAGAGCTTTCCCATCATCCTTTGAGGGACCTTTGGTAGAATGTTCTGTCACAGAGAGCCAAGAGTCATGCATTTGAAAACTGAACAAGCTACAGAAGTTGCCCCATTTTTTTTAAACCTCACAAATTAGACCAGATCTCAGGAGACTAGCTAGTAAATAAACGCGGGATCCATCGCTGTTCAGCGAGGAGGCAGCATTCAATGAGCGAAGACACAAGACCTACATTTCTAACGCCATCGACAACATGCACACACGGAAGGAGCTTCATGTTTTGGTTTTCCTGTAGTCAGTTAAATCCAGCCGGAGGTGAACAAAAGCTATAAAAGAGAGTGGCCGACATTCAGAAGGAATCTAGCAGGTCTAAACCGCATCGATCCCAGCGTCTCCGTCCTCTGCAGCAACTATAAAAGCCTCACAGGCCAAACAATGCAGCCTTGATCAGTGCGTTTACTGTGAAATCACAAGGCCGTTAGGTCTCCTGTGGAGAAGTGAATGAGCCTACAGTAAGAATAATGCACAATCTAAAGCCTCTTTCTACAGGAACAAATGGTGACAATAGTTAGGTAAGAGATACTAAATTAGCACGTCCTCTTCAATTTAAGATTATATGCCTTTTTTATTATACATTGTAAGAACTTTAAAGAAATGAATGCAGAGCAGAAGTTGTTTGTTGCCCTGCACCTTAAGCTAGCAAATATTGAGGGGAAACAACCTAGAAAAGAAATTACAAGCAGAATAAAACTGATCAAATAATGGATGGTGCAGGTTTGAAAAGTTAGTGTAAAAAAAGACTGAGAATAATGAATAACAGCAAGGAAACAAAACCTCCCCGGCTGCCTCTAAAGACTCATTTCAATCCCTCCACGCTGGTTCCAGGTTCAACCTCTCAAGTGAACAGCACTGCTCTTTACTTTCTTCAGCTAACAAGATTAGAGGCGGCCAAAGCTGCAACTGCACAATGCTCTACAGTTCCCATTCGCTTCAGCTCCAACGGGATAAATATGTCAGCTGGGGGTCTAGTAAAGCGCGCCGAGCACTTTGGCTCCGGCCCAACTGGGGAGCAAGGTGGAGCACATTGAGCCGGTGACAGGTTCCCTTCTTTAACCCCTCCCACACTAGTCTCACATTCAAAAAAAAAGGTGTAAACACAGCTGGAGAAGGCAAAGAGACACCTTTTCAGAGATTGCATGAATCAACATGCTCAGAAACACCCTTGAGCTAAATGCATGCACTCTCACACACAGCACCATTTCATACAGCTTGCAAGTATCTTTATTCCTGCAGAGAAGAAGAAAGTGGTACATTCGGATATTGCAGCAGCAGTAAAAAGCCTCGAGGCAGCTCCAGATTGCCAACCAGCCCGTGAGGAGGCGAGTCAGGCTAAAAGGGGACTTCATGCAGACCAGCGATGGCACCCAGGGCAACGGCTAAGGAGCTGGAAATCCTGATTGGTGCAGAGAGAGAGAGGCGTTCCCTACTCGTGTTTGTTTTAAAACGTGCAAATACGTCTGCCGCTGTGGTCAAAGACATACAATGAACATTTTTTACTTCACTCGTGTTTACACTCTAGCACAAGCCCACGCAACGTCTAAGGAAAGCCAGTCTGAAGCATACGGAATTCCACACACTTTTAGAACTCGTGTACCTTTACCCAGCAGGGACGCCGCTTAGAAAAGCTAGAAACTCAGGCAGTCCAAGAATACAAAAGAAAAACAAGTTTATTCTTAAATCAACTGGCATCGTGTTAAGGAAAATGCCATTGCGTGTTTCAAAATGAAGCTTCTCTTTAGAATTCAGAACAACGAAACATTCGTTTCTCAGTAAACAGTCTGCTTCTTAAAAGTAAGCCCACAAGTTGTACTTGTTATTTTAAATAAGTAAGAAGTGTCAGGGAGTTTCTTGACCGAGACTTCTTAGAAGTGTTGGAGGAAAAGTGAAGAGGATAACCAGGCAGACTCCCATTGAGGAGGAACAGAGTTTCCAAGGAGATGTTCCAGTACTTGTTATACGCCGGTGTCTCTGCAGTTGAGTCCAATTAGGAGAGCATGTGCACTGAATTCAGCTGTCAGGTTCCAATGTGATGCTGCTTCACTATGAAAAGGCTAATCTTTGGGAGGGCGGAGAGGAGGAGTGGATTAGGGAGGGAGCAAGGTTTCCCAGCAACCGTTGTATATCAGGAGAAAGAAGTGATGTAAAAACTAGTAATTTGTCACTACTCACCTCAACGTGTTTTGATAAATACCTTGTATCAAGTTATTCAATGTCAACAGAAGTAAATCTTCATGCATTAATCGATGCCCCTGTAAACCGACTGGTCCATAAGGATAAAGGCTTCCTGGTTATGCATGCAAGAGTTTCTGAACAACGCGTTTAGCCCCCATTCACACGGCGGTTTGTACTCCCATCCCCCTCATACCAAAGAAATTGAAGGCAGCTCAGACTAAAAGAACCACAAGACGGTGCCGAACAAAGCCCAATGAGCATCAACCTAAAGGGGAACTCGGACACTGAAAAGCTGCATCTGAGATGTGGACAAGCACCGGGTCGACAGCGATGCACTCTGTATTCGTGGTATGACAGCTGAACACAGACAGCTGGGTCAGCGGCTGACATGGATACAGAAAGAAGACGCGACTGGCAGAGGAAACACACACACGCTTCAGCAGCTGAGAAACAAAGGGGAGCAAGTGAGAATAAGTCTTTTGTTGCATCAAAGCAAGTTTAAACCAAAGAGGCGCAATTAATTCAGTTTCCCACAAATCATTGTGTGTTTTAGGGATGAGAATGCTCCCTTTGAGTTTATTAAAATCGATTCTTTAAGAGGCATATTTGAGACCAGCAGCACAGTAAAGGGAAGACAAAGCAGAGCGGAATGCACAGTAGTTATTGCACGTTGAGCAGCTCATGGTCTATGGTGCAACTGGTGGTTTAAAATGCTAGTTAGTCCTAAATAAATTTTAAAAAGTTGTATAAAGTAAAATATAAAAAGCCAGCAAAAGGGAAATTAGAGATTTGTTCAATGGATCATTGCCAATTCTTAGAAACCTTAAAGTATGGGCTATTTAAACAGTTATTATAGCAACCAGTCTAAATGAATGCCAGAAGAAATAATCAAATGTTGCAGCGCTGTGGTTCCCGATTCGGATGAAAACCTTGCATAAATAGATAAATCATTTCACTAGCGTGGGCTGTGACTCACCGGGTCTGCAGCGGTGGCCGTCAGCAGCCAGCTCCTGACCTTCTGGACACACACAGGTGTATTTGGGGGAGTGTTTGTTGATTTGCGGTGCAGGCAGACACATGTAGCTACAGCCTCCGTTTTCACCCTTCTCGGCACACCAGTTCGTGCCTGCACAAAAAGGAACATTAGCTTGGATTATTTGGGCAAGAATATGTTAGAAAATAGGCAATCAAGAAAAAATAAGTCATTTGTTTGAAGCCAGTGCCTGGATGGGTCGATATGTGATGGCAAGTCACAATATCAGGGTGTTTAGGCGATAATAGATCAGTGGCTAGTAGTCAATAATGGCTGATTACTGTACCGTGGGTCAATTAGAAATTTCTGATTCACTTTCTCGTCATTAAATCAGCAGCAGATTTTAAAAAAAAGACGACGCCGGGGTGCTCTGGCGTTGCCACCTGCAGGACGTCGATTAAGACCTTCCAACTCAATATTCACTCTGTTTCCCCCCCCCCCCCTCAGATCATTCCCCTGCCCTCAGGTTCTTACCCGAGAGCTGGATCAGCTCGTGGTACACGATGATGTCCTGGGGGTCATTCAGGTTGCTGGCCAGCGTCACCACGTCAGAGCCTGTGAACTTGTTTGCGCCGTAAATGGCTTTATTTTCACCATCTGTCCAGAAGACTCGATCCTGAAGACAAATACAATGTTCCCATTGATCGCTAGAATCTACTCAGCTGGAACTTGCTCGATGGAAGTAATTATGAAACTGGGCCATAAAACAACAACAACAACATTTTACCATAATGGCCAATTAAGAAAAACCTTAAACAATCTCCCATCGCTCATACGCATCAACACCAATTGGTTTGACCAACCAAGGTATTGTTGCCGTGGAAACTGAGCAGTGCGACATAATACAGATGGAAATACTAAGGCTGTAACTGTATTCATGAACGGTCGATCCATATCATATTCAAAAAATTGACTCGTTAGAAGTTAGAGTTTCAATTAGCTGGAAATTGAAATGTTTTAATAGTCGCTGTATAAGGTTTGGTTAAAATTGTGCACTACCATAAGAATCTTCCCGCATGTGAATACATTTCTGAGCGAGGAAGCGATTTTCTATGAGTGGGTGGAGGTGAGACAATACAGCCACATATCCATCAGAGGGATTTAAAAGATGGGGGATCTATGAATAGCCAGGTTTAAAGATGCGAGCCACAAAGATGAGCATGCTTTACCTCGCTGTGTTCTCCTAGAGCACAAATTAAGCTATTCTGAATGTCGTCTTAAGGACGCGCTGAAAAGTTAATGCGTGTTCATAAGCAGAGATCACGAAGGACACAGAAACACACCACACATGGCTGAGAGGACAACGGACATGCAGACTATGATTAGTGTTGTATTTATGGGGCAAAAGCTGATTGAAACACAGCGCTTGTGTGGCTGTACCAACACGCCTGCACATTTATGCTGCAGAAAAGAGCGACTGGGTAAGTGAAAAAAACATTACTGTTTCATAGAGGCTGCCAGTGTGTGTGTGCGCAGTAACGCCGCTTCTTATTCTACTCAATGGTTAATCAGTTAAAAAAAATAAAGTGAATAAAAAGACTACATTGTGGCAATGTTACCTCAAACACAGTGAGAGCGAAGGGATGCGCCAGGTATTCTGGAGACTGCAGTACTTTGTTCCTGTTGTCTCCGTTCAGGTCGACGCTACAGAGCATGTGAAGCTTTGAGTCGACCCAGTACAACCGGCCTTTGATCAGATCTAGGGAGGAAGATAAAGCGTTAAAACAAAACGACACATCAGAAGAGGCAAGACTGAGACTTAATGATAACCGAAGGGAGGATTGTAAATGGGAAGACCGGGAGTGTGAGACAGAATAATTACTCAAGGAAAGAAAGCAGTGATGCAAGGGGTGAAGCACAAATGGACATTGAATACAAGTATGTTGACAGGAAATGAGACGAGGGAGTTGAAGATTAAAGAACACGGCGGCGTTGCTATGGCTACGCAGAGAGTTGTGGCGATGAATGGTACAATTTAAAAAACAAAGTTAAGGTTTGTCCTCATTTTAGTCGCTGCAGTAGATTGAAGGTGCAGTTGAAACAAAAAGGATGTGAAGTAAATTGAGGGGCAGATTGAAGTCAAACACTAAAGACTGTTTAGTGTATGTTAGTATCAGTCCAACTGCAAAGAAAGGCATATAAAGTAGCTGAACAAACAGCTACAAGATAAAAGGAACAGTTCTTGGATGGAACAGCAGTGAAGAAAACGTGTGCTTTGGTGTGGAAACACTTTGAGCGTGGTCCTACCCAGGGTGATGCCATTGGGCCACTGGATGTCAGTCGCCACCAGAACCTGTCTGTCCACTCCGTTCATACCAGATTTTTCAATCTTAGCAGGCTCGCCCCAGTCGGACCAGTATAGAAACCTGCGGTACAAACACAAACAGCGCTGTAGATCTACAGTGGCCATTGAAATTACAGGCTTTGACCCCGCAGCGACCTTCCACCCACCCCGACAGCGGATCCACAGCTATCGATGCCGGCTCTTTGAGGCCTTTGCTGAACAGAAGTTTCTGCTTGGTTCCGTTGAAGTTGGCTACAGAAATAGTTTTGGTGCCGAGATCAGACCAGTAGACGTTTTTATAGATCCAGTCGACGGCGATGCCAACGGGAGTCTGGACGTTGTCAATCACTTTATTGTGGGTGCCGACGTCCCCGCGTTTGTCCAGCACAGTGCTGTAAGAAAACAGACATTACTACACTGAAATATTTCCTAAAGTTTCTGCCTCACCTCAAAAGTATCCAACAGGACTTTAAACTAGTTCAGGATATGTGATTAATGCATCGGTCACCAGTCAGATTTGCTAATTAGCGATAACCGTACAAGTACAGCTGAGGCTGATTGAAATATCAGTAGTTTTGCAGGTATTTTGAGAATTAAAATATTGACCTGATTGCCGTTGATTAAGTCACAGAATTATCAAATTCATCCACATGGAGCCATAGAGATGTGTACCAAAGATCATATTAGCCATCTTAAATATGTTGTGTCATGTCACAAGGTAAATTAAACCATTGACATCCTAAATGAAGAGTCTGGAGATTAGCAAAGCCACGAGGGATCATCTGTACTATAATTTGGGATATTTCTATACGGTAACCCTTTGTGTTTCACTGCTCTCAGGCCAGCAGGTTTCTACCGCCTTAGAAAACTAAGATATTAAACTGTAAAACCTGCGCGTGTTTGCTCTACCTATATACGGCCCTCTGGCCCAGGTCGGCCCAGAAGATCATCTGCTGATTGAAGTCTGCATCCAGAGCCACGGTGTTCCTCTGCTGCTCCACAATCTGAGTGTACTCCTTCCTCTCCAGACCCAGGCGGCGGATGTCTCTGCGGTTTGTGAAGATCAGGCAGGGTTCCTTCCCTGAGGACATGAGGTCGAAGTTTAATATCAAGGAAAAAAATAAATAAATAAAATAAAAACCACTGAGAAGGTCAAGCGGGCTTCAAGATGCAACTCGTTCTCACGGAGACAGTCACAACTTTTAGATGTGATCCCCAGGCGAGAAGATCTACAGCGGCTGAACTACTAGATCTTTCTGACGACATTTAAATGCATTGCATCATTTAAAAATACACTCTAGATATGAGGTTTATTTCTGCAAATTTCTCACATTGACTTTTCCATATTTTCAAAGCAGTTTTTAGAATATGAACCATTATTTTTAAGCTTAACTCCTTTGAGTATGAAGCCGGTAGCAATATACAAGAATATTTCTACTAAATACACAATTTGCCGTTTCCTCCGTTACTCAAGTGTACGTTTTTGATAAGATGCTCATTCAGATCTCCCTCAAATACTCATCCACATTTTAACAGAAATGTAAATCTGTGAAATACAGCAGCCCAGGTTTTAATCGCTTTCAGTTCGAAGACACATTATGTTTTGTCTACCTACCATTACCCATTATAAAAAGGCGTATCAATATATTTTTGTACCATATAATTTGGATCTTTTTGAAGCCTGCGACAAACCAAAAGCAATTCATAGTCCTTTCAGGCAGAAATTGTCTCACCGACAGCTTTGCAGACGCCGGTTGTCGGATCCATCTGGTAGCCGTTGTGACATTCGCACTTGTATCCGCCCTTCAGGTTGATGCAGATCTGACTGCAGATGCCGGGATTCAGACACTCATTGATGTCTGCACACGGAGAGAAACCGAAGACGAAGATGAAGGAGAAAACCGAGGGAACACAGCTGGTGTCAACATGTCAAATTATCAGGTCTGCTCAAATTGACCCATTCGGTCATCACTTCCACAGCTTTCATGCAGAGAAAGATCTATTGAACACTAAAGCGGCCCAGGGGTGTGGTGTTATCATGGTTGCCTCACATCAAGAAGTGCTGGGTTCTACTCCGCACAGGGGCCTTTCTGTGTGGAGAGCGCATGTTCTCAGTGTGGGTTCTCCGGCTTCCTCACAGTCCAATGAAATGCTCTGGGGGTTCGATCGCCAACTCTAAATGGCCTCTAGGTGTGTGGATGGGAATTGTGTTTTTCAGCCCTGCAATTGACTGGCGACCAATGCAGGGTTTACTCCGGCTCTCGCCCGGGATTGACTGAAGGATCAGCGGCTTTGTAGAGGACAACATGCCAGAGATGCTTATTGGAGGAAATTGTGAGCCAACGGTGATTGCTTGCCACCATCGCTCTTCAGCAACAAGCTGCTCCCCGTAGAAAATACACGTTTGAGGGAGTTTAACTAATTAGTCTATACCTGGGATTAGATTGTGTGAATCATTCCAGACGGGAGATGCACATGCCCAATATCCAAAGCAATGCTTGAAGCAAACACTGGCTCAATAACAAAACGGTCAGACAAGTGCCAACAGGATTTGTACTTCAGAACAAACAGAAAAACATTGCAACCACAATCCTTGTGAAGCCAGAAGTGCAAAACAATGTACAAGCAAGTGAGAACCAGTCCTCAGTACAGCAGACGCTGCCGGTTGGATGTGATTTCTAAGCAAGACAAATATAATGTAGCTTCAGCCTCCCAAATCCAGTTTCTTTTCAAAACATCCAGAACTTAGGTTTGAATAATGTTTATCAGTTTGATCGTTTATTATAATTGGGGTTTATGGCCACTTTGAAACAAAAGCACAGTGAGCAACCATTTGTAAATATATAAAATTGAGAGTAGTGTTCTGAATCCCACTAAACTGTGTTCACAAGTAAGCCAAAAGGTAAACATACCAAATTAATAAACTACTGAACGAAAGAATCAAAACATGCGTCAAGTTCCACTTGTGATCACTAAAGACTCATTTTAAAAGCAAAGTGTGAACCACTTAATCAGCACCAGGCGGCTGATGTTTTGTTCATAATGCAAACAAATCTTTCAGTAAGGTCACAATAATGCAAAGTTACCCATAAATATCCAGATACACATAAAGACCACCTACCGCCGCAGGTCTTGTGGTCAATGAGCTGAAGTCCAGGTGTGCAGTCACACTCAAAACCAATCGCCATGTCTTTGCAGATGTGAGAGCAGCCGCCGTTGTTCAGGAGACACTCGTTGTGATCTGAAGCGCATGTAGGAAACTGCTTAGTTGCAGCGGAAACTGTCAAGCAACACAAACTCTGGGGACCATCTTCAACAGTCCAGTCAGATACACATTAACAGTGAGAGAGACGGACAGGGCGCAACAGATTGGAAAGTAACGAGAGCGATAATACAGGGATGAGGTGTAGGTTTAAGAGTTAACATTTTATGTCTCAATAAGAGTCAGAACAATTACATTTATTCTCTACCAAGATGCATAATTTTAGTCGGTGGCCATTTCCTTTAACAAGGAAGAGAAAGCAGCCAGTGCAAATATTTTAAAGTCAACACATCACCATCAGACAACAATTCACTTAGAAATCAAATAATTTTGCCATTTGATGCATTAAATTGTTAATTTACATAATATATCACTAATTTCCTGTGATTGAACCGCAGTACCATTTAGATTTATTTTGGTATTCAGATAGTGGAACGCATTATCACTTCACTTCTTGCGTTTATGAAAGAATTCTTAAGTATTATTAGTTAGGATTAGCTGAACTTTATATCAAAATCGGAGTAAAGCAAACAAGACTTCCAGGTATGGACACTTTCATGCCCAATGAGAAAGGACATTAGGACCAACTGAAAGGCAAGTTGTCTCTTTGGTGGAACAACCAATGCACAGAATCAGGATTCTGAGGAGACGATTCTAAACATTTCCAGTTCATGTTGCTGACATTTGGAGCAGCGCTGCAAGCCTGACTAATCAGCAAATGTCATTTGTCGAACACTGGGTTATTCAAAGCCCAAACAAGGAATTTTTTAGTTGAACAAACTCCATTATATTAGATCACAATAATCAAACACGTCGATCAGTCATGTGTTCTGCCACTTTGTTGGGAAAGTTTAATAATCTACGGTTTGTCTTCAAACAAAGATTTGCTGTGGAAGCGCAGGAACGGCTTCTCTGCACAATGCAACAAAACCAGACTATTTCATTGTGGCAACACGTCTTCAGGAGCCGTCAACACACTGACGTTTTCCTAATTATTCCAGCGCATGCACAAAGCAAATCGGGTTTTTTTTCGATACTAAACGAAAGGAAAAACCTTGTTTTGTGCACAAGTTGTGCCTACTCCCTTGATTCGGAGGCTGTTGTTGGTAAAAGAATGAACCACCGGCATTTTCCACCTTGTGTTATTGTGCCTCAGAGTAGCAGCTCACATCCATGTCTGATGGAATGAAATGGGGACATGTGGACAGACATTGGTGCCACTTAAACAGTGTTCTGTGAGGTCAGTCTGATCAGTTTATCTTTCAGTTCAAATAGATTGGAAGTGGAAGAAAATCCCTACGGGCGCTCCTCACATACCACGTTAAGGGGACGGACACAAGGACAACCCAAAATGTAATCGACCCGAGTCATAAAAACTGAAGTTGCTCAATATCAGATATGAGGAGATTGTGTACATTTTCCACATTATGCTGAAGTAGAGATTTGACGTTTCTGACTACATCTTTGCCTTTTTTTTACTCACTGCATTCCTTGATGGGTTCGTCGCTCCAGTCGGGACAGTCTCGGGCCTTGTTGCACACTTTGCTCATCTCGATACACTCCCCGCTGCGACACTTGAACTTCTCTGGTCCGTTACACTGGGTCACTGGGGAGAGATGCAAAGACTTACACATTACTGGGAGAAACGGCTTTCATGCGAAATCCTTCCTCAAAATGTTATCACATGAAGCGCTTCCAATGTAATCTCTCAAACTTCTACATTCGCCGATGCAGCTAAAATTTATGCTAAACTTCGCTAATTGAGCAACAGATCCATTATTGCATATGCAACAAAAGACATACATGCAGTATTGAGCCCATCCGACTAACAAACGCGCCCTCACACAATCAGCTGCACTCTCCAAAATAGGAATCCCTGTCGGGTTGTCAGCTCCAAACGTCAATTCCACATGAACGTCAGCAGAATATTTCAACCCTTGAATGTGTGAAAAAAAAAAAAAGGGTGTAGGTTGCATTTATAGGTTATGTTAAGAGCTTCGCCAACATGTAATTGTTCAGCCCTTAGTGAGACTGTGCAACAAACTTGTATCTTTTAAAGAGCGTTTTTCAAAGAAAGGATTTCTGCTTCTGGAACAAGAACAAGCTCAAGGAAACGAGTTAAGAGTTTTTCTTTCTGGATCAGCACACAAAAATAAAAGCATTGGATTGTTTGAAAAAGCCTTTTAACTCTGCTTTTGTATCAGAGCGCAAGCAGAGGTAGATTGTGAGGTTTTCTCTTTAGTCTTCACATACTGCAAAAGGCAGAAACGTGTGCACGGTATCTACAGCGCACTAAAGATACACTCACTCTGCTTCTGAACCTCAGGACAGCCTGAGGGAGAACGTAAAAAAAGAAACGCAGCCGAGAGAAGAAAAACAGATTATGAAACGTTAGAGTTTCTGCATCGTGTTAGTTAACAGACTCTTAACAACTCTGCCCTGCAGGTGAGAGTGGGTGCAGACAAGTTCTCCAAAGCCTTTTAATTTCCTCAGCATGCCGATAGAGACTAGACTGTAGCTCAGAAGAGCGCCACACACACACACACACACACACACACACACATTTGTGGCTATGTTGTCTGGAATGAACTCCATACCAGCAGTAAAATACCAGTAGTAGCATTCCATATGCATCCATTTTAAAACAAATGGAAAATAATGATTGACTGAACTCAGAGCGTGAAAGTAAAAATGTTCTTTACCCAACGATGTGCAAATGAAAGTAAAGCTGCGCGCGCACACACACACACACACACACTACACACACGGCACATACTGTTTTTGCAGTTGACTTCGTCTGATCCATCGGCGCAGTCTCGGAGGCCGTTACACTGTTTGCTGCCCAGGATGCAGTTGGCATCATCACATCGGAATTGATCCGCTCCACAACTGCGTACGGCTGCAAAGGACACACGTACACTTTGGTTACACATGAAGCTGGTGCATAATACACACACACACACACACACACACACACACACACACACACACACACACACACACACTTAACCGCTGGCTGGATATCAAACTCTGGGTTCTACGGCACTGACAGCTCTGCAGTCTACACCGTACTTATACATAGATCACTAGACAGAAATATAGTTGAATATGAATTGATTAATTATTTGCTGTACTTTCGATTTACTCGGTTTTTAACGGCTGAATACCTTCAGTTTCAATTCAAACCCGTCAATACTGAACTTTTCCTTAAGGCTGATATGTCATTTTACACGTTTCATTTAATGCAAATTGTAAGTGTACAAATACACGAGAGACTGAATTTAATCCATTATTTTGTGTGGACGTCCATCACCGATTCACTTAGCCATCATCAGTTTATCTTATTTTCAGTAGTAACTTAACTCTGCAGTGGTGACAGTCAAGTGGTTATGATGTGAAATGGGACATTTGCACATACGGCAGTTGGCTTCGTCGCTCCCGTCCTTGCAGTCAGGGTCTCCATCACACCGCCACTTCTTGTGAATACACTCCCCTGAGCCGCACTGCATCTCACTGGACGAACACTTGGCCGGTGGCGTCGGGTGGCGGCCGCAACGAGACGGAGACTCATCAGACTGGTCCTTCAGGGGACAAAGACGATCAGATTTAATCTTTTAAAAAAGGTTGTCATTTTAAAGAACATAATCAATTGCTGAATGCGTTTTCCCCGCCAATGTGTCTTAGCAATAAACAAAACTGACCAGTGAAAATGTACAGTGGGTTTTTAATTGTCCTTCAAGGCGGTCAGTGATAACACAGCCAATTAACGGGTGCAAAAACGTGATAGAATTGACTGAACAAGACTGCTGTGAGGATTAAACTTTCAGGACCGGTATGTGTGCCAATAATGGAACACTAGTTTAATACAGAGGGCGTCTGTGTGCTGCCAGCCGCAAGTATTTTATTAAAACGAGATGATATTTCATATCCTAGTCTTTAGAGTCTGGAAGGACACATTTTTCATTCGATTCATTTTCACTCGATTTTATGATTATGCATTTTAAAAAACAATTAGGTCTGACAATGTCAATCTTTGTATTATTCAAGCAATATACATTTGTATGTGTGGATCCTATTCAAATGACAGCAATGTACCATGAGTTACAGTCAATTCCTGAGACCGCTTGAGTCTCAACTTTAAACTGTACAGTCAGAAAAAACATCCACTTAAGTCATTGCTCTCACGGAAGTCTTGAGTGCAGACTTGAGACTAGGAGATGAAGAAGTTAAAAACTAGAGGCCCTTGTTGTCATGCAACTCTAGTGCATCAGTGATCGTCACCGTTCAGCCGCCGCAGAATTTTGCACAAAAACGTCCTCTCACCTGGCAGTCGACGTCGTCGTCACACACCCAGCTGGCCGGGATGCAAGAGGAGTTTCCACACTGGAACTCACTGGGGCCGCAGGAGGACGGCGCGCACGCCACCTCGTCCGAGCCGTCGCCGCAGTCGTCCTCACCGTTGCACACAAAGTTACTGGAGATGCAGCGCCCGCTGGCGCACGTGAACTCGTTTGGAGCACAGGTGACGTTGCCTGGCGGCCGATAAAGGGGACGAGAAGAGAAATGGGCTTATTCACAACAAGCTCAACGTCAGTCTGGTCGTAGGTGTAACGGATCATCTTTTATACAGCTTAAAACTTGAATATATAATAGCACAGCTTTTCTAGATATCATGTGTACTAGAATACAACACTACAGGTATAAGGCAGAGGCTTGCATTGATCAGAATTTTTATTTGAATCTTTGCAGCACAACGGGTCGTTCTGCGTCCGCCCGACTTCGCCAGATTTGTTTAAAAAAGCAAAAAAAAAAATTGCTTAGTTGCTGTGAATCGTCAGTCACAAAACAAGTGAAGCAAATGATAAGTTCCAGTTGCAACATCAATTACATCACTTCAAAACAGCCTGAAAAGAACCCAAAAGAGTTTGTTTAAGCTTCGCGTCATGCGTTTGCACAAACTAGCAGCACACAAGCCTGCGGTTCTAATGCATAATTCAGAGGTTGAGTAATCCGACGCGTACTTCGGTTGGATGGCGAAGCAGTGAAGAGTGTTCACCATTTGGCATCAGATAAATTTATTGGGTTTAGCAGATGTCAGGACACTACCAGCCTGCAGATGGCCAAAGACTGAAGAATAGTCGGAGCAGATTATTATTGTTTGGGATGAGAAATGAAAGGCTTCAGCACACAATTGTATTGTAGTATTAAAAGTGCGTTCTATGCATCAGACGCTGGTGTGTGTGTACGACCTTTCTGGTAAATAAAATAATTTTAACTGGATTACACTGATTAACGCCTTAGGCAGCAAAGATGCCAATCATCTCCTCCTGCTGTAGTATTAAAATATACGTAGCGTTTAAGAAAAGACTATAGCAAAACTCCTTGTACCAAATCAGTGACATGTTACGTCATATTCATTGAAGAGATTTATATTTTCCAGCATCAGCAGCAATCTTATGTAATCAATTAAAGTAAAATAGCGATCGTTTTTCTTTTCTAAAAATGTGATTTTCTCCTTTTGAAAATGTTATTTCTCATCTGGAGGGAGGTGCAGGAAAAATGTTACTCCTTACTTACAAATTAGATGGACAATTTACCCGCCTGCTACAAGCTGCAGTCCAGTTTTGTCAGACAGTTATTTTAGTTTGTCCAGGGACAGCTCCGTGCAAAAGGCTTTGTGCATTTATGCTGCAGTGTTTACATGTGACCACATCGTAGGTCACCACACGTCTTTGCCTTCGAGTGCTCGTCTTCCAATAGAAATGTGTGGTCTGCACAAACAAGCCAAAGTATAAATAACAGGACACTGGCCGCCCTTATCACAGTTCTTTCTAGATAAGCAAAGCCAGAAGATATAAACTAAGTGGCATAACCTTTGCCGTTTAGTGAGAAATCTTTAACTTTCATACTGCAATTACCATCATGGTATTTAACAGCAGTTTGTCTGGTAAACAGGGACTAAACCAAACACATTTATCTTCTAAACTGCAGGCCGGGCGCTGGCAGAAGGCTCAGCTTGGCCTCCCAGTGCCCTGCTAGCACACCTACAGTATGTGGGCCGCGAAGGAAAGAAAATTATTCTCCATGCCGATAGAGACTCTGCAGTCAGTGTGCGCTCGTCTACCTACCACAGTTGACCTCGTCCTCGCCGTTGTCACAGTCCTTCTCGCCGTCACATTTCCAGAAGACAGGGATGCACTGAGTGGAGCCGGCGCCGCAGCTGAACTCGTTCACACGACACGTCCTCATGTCTGCATGGAGAAGAAACAAAATTAAGTTTGATTTTGTCAATCTATACCAAAACGAAATGCATTGGCTACTAGAGCAAGACTATTTGCTACGAGGGATTGGTTGAGTACATAAACGTTTTATCCATTTATAGAAAAGCCGGCTGGGTTTCACATGAAACGCTGAAAAATGTAGCGTGAGTTTTGACCAACTAAAGCGGTTCTTTGATTTGATTCCCCCCAGATGGATGATTAGTGATAAGCAACGAGTTACCGATCACAAAGAAAGTGATGAGTCCGTTAAGTCCTCACTTGGGTTAATACAGCACTCAAGGTTTCCATTAACACAACTCCGTAGTTTCTCTTCAGTAAAGGTAGTAAAATGTCCGAAAGGACAGTTTACAGATTACAGGGAAACACTCAATCTTCACGATAAGTCAGCTGGAGGTTAAACTCAAGCCTTAGTTACCAAACACTTTATCTCTGCATACATATTCAGCCCACAATGCAGTTTCCATCCAATTGCAGACCAAGTTGCTTCTCATCTCTGCGATGGTACACTGCAGGGAGATAACGAGTAGCGAGGCACAGATAACAGGACGCACTGATGAGAGCAGCTCAATGGAGCACTACATGAAGGTGAATAGAAAAGTAGCTCCAACAGCTGCAGGAATAATTTACTATGAGGATGTAGTTCGGTGTACAACCAAGTAAATGTACGACACCACAGACCACCTTCTGTGCATCAGACGGTCATGATCGGTTTTAAGTGCATGCTCAATGTCACACATGTAGTGGTTTCACCTGCTCAACGATTACCTTACACAATTGCATATTTCGTCACGGAACGTGATTGCGAAGCGGCTTTTGTTTTCAAACTCCTCTTGCTCAAAGCCAATGAATCTAAAAAGTTGGGTTTTCTAGTGAAAAGCAAACAAATCAAGTCTATGTGCGTGTCCTTTTCCAGCCAAAGAACAAATCATTAAACGGATTATACGAGCGACCGCTGTGGCCGAGTGGAACGTGACGACGGCACGAGGTCTTTGCAGGTCACGACTCACTGAAGTTCACGCCAGCTGTTCGATCTACCAACGTCAATTCCCGACTCAAACCTTAAAAAAAAAGGAGGAGTCAGAAAGGAATGCAAAACCTATTCAAAGTATACCGTAAGCAAAATATCAAAGTCAAAAGGACAATTTGCAAACAAGACCGTCCAGGTTTAAACTAGACTTTGTTGGTTGCATGCAGCTTGAGTTTCTATTAACGGCCAAGTGAACACAGCTGGAGGCCATCGTCATCCTGCAACACAACACACGTGCACATGACCACGAGTCCTCCACACACGCACCCCCCCCCAACGCGCGCTTCAGATTCCAAACCCAGCTGCCAAGTCATGTGTAGCAGCTGATCAAACAGTGGAGCAATATAACGGCTACATTAGCTGGGCTCAACTGCACGTACGCCACTGCATGAAGTTACACGCGTTCTTAAAATACACAAAAACATGACCTCGAGTTACCCTTTAATCTACACGAGCACAGACCCACGTGAGAAAGTGGACTCTTGAGAAAGCAAAGGGCCACAGCAGTCAGTCAAATTCTCAGCAGGCAACTTAATGAGAATAATGTAATAATAATTCCATGTCAGTTACGTAAAACGCTCTACGTTACATTTACAAATTGAGATGCACAATTTCAGCTGGGAAAGACTGCAGGAAATTGAGTAAATAAATCTTACTCTGTAGTGCTGGGAGAAGTCACTGCTCACATTTATATTGCCATTGTTGAACTCATAAAAGCCTTATCAAAAGTAGTATGGTTTATCAGCTCATCCCCGAGGACTTTTATGATCCAAACGGCTCCAATTAGGTAGTCAGCAGTGTCTCACGGATCAGAGGCGTTCAAGGAGAATACCAATTCCTCTGCAAGGCTTTGAGCACGCGCGTCATCCATCATCTTATTCATTAATACCGCTTAGCCACCAGATACTAATTCTAGTACTCATTGTATCTTTCTCACAGTAAAACCCAGGTGAGTCAACCAGACACTGCAAACGGCTTTGAATAACTGTTTACAAGTCGACAAACTGCACTGCAAATAGATCCCATCTAAAAGTGCAGGAGGGATTCGCGACAACTAAAAAGGTTGTTTGTCGGGAAAGCATTTATTTTTGCCTCGTTTTCAACTTTGTGCACTCAACCTGCTGTGTTGACACACGTCAGGGAAAAACAGCTCTGAAAACCGCGACACACACACACACACTCTTTAGCAAATGACACTGGTTCCACTTCACAACGCTTGGATTAGCTTTGTATTTGATCTCCAAAGTGAAGTCTCATTGCATGTCAGGAAGCTAAACTCCTGCTGGTGCTGCTCCAAAAATAAACAAGACCTCCTCGGATTAAAAAACATACATTAGTTAATGACAAATAAATCATTGAGTCCAGGTATTTTAATGAGCTATTAAGTTTTAGCATTTGTTTATGGAATCCAAAACCCGCAATGCAATATCAAGGATGACATGTTAGCCTAAATAAGTTTATTTTCTCCAAAATGTTGTATAGAGGCTCATGTTTGACCTAAAAATAAATTTGAAAAAGAAAGTTGATCTCCTAGAACCTGCTCATTGGTGAAATCAAAAGTCAGTTAAAGGCATCTATACAGTGTCAGACAAAAGTTGACACATTCTCTTATACTATGGCTCATTTGTATAAACATTTTAATTTTGTTGTATATTGTCATCAAATCAATTAGAGTTACGTTGAACTGGTACAAAGAAGCCTGAGCACTGAAGAAGAACCACTCCTGAAATAGTTTGCACTAAAGACTGCATCGTTAAAAACAGATGCTTTCATTACAAAAATGACTTTGCAATCATCTCATCAACCCTGCAAAGAGCCCATTCCATGCATCTCCTTCACTGGTATTTGTTTTATCATGAGATTTAGTACTTACAGTACCTTTAGTTGACTTGAGACAATAAAGAAATGCTTCAGGTTTCAGGACGATACAAGAAAGCATTAATATCAAGCCCACATGCATTTGATGAAGAGCTTTTATCTTCCCTCTGAGGTTTATCTCTACCTGAGGAGATGCCACAGTCCATTTGTCTTCACAGCAGCGCAAACAGGAGATGCTCCCTCAAAAACAAAATAACTTGCTCGCCGCTTTGATTCCAACAAGCGCACCAGCAAGACCTCACATCACAGCCGCGCCACGTAAAGCTCAGCGGCTCTCCGTATTTCCATGGAAAACAACTTTTATACTTGACAGCGTGGCTCACAGGGGATCTAGACTTCAGCGCTTTCAAGTGCCTCTCTGAATTCCTGCTACGGAAAGAAAACCGCGTGACAGCTACGTAAAATCAGCTGAAAACGTCCTCTAGTTTTTGGCCTCATGCAAAAAGCTTAAAATTAATATCAGTAATAGTATTGAGAATCTTTTAAAAAAAAGCAGCTCCGCTCAACACATCGGATCAGATGAACACAGTCCTTTGTACACAGTCACTCGAGTAATCTAAATAACAAATGTTATAAAATGCATATCAATGAAATTTTATCTTCTTTTTCTTTTTTATCTTAGTTTCCAAGTCTGTCTTTGTAAACTAGTATTGGTACATGTAGCAACAGGAAACTAGCATGATACAAGACGCCTGCTGCGGTAACCAAGGTGCCTCACAATAAACTGACAGAAACAAGAGTTGTGTCGGTGTTCATAAAAGAGGGAACCAGAGACTCACGGCAGATTTCTACGCTCTCGTCTGACCCGTCCTCGCAGTCTGGCTCCCCGTCGCAGTGCCATCGCTTGGGGACACATTGGCCGTTGTGACACACAAAGTCCACCTCGTCGCACGTTTTTCCAACTGGAATGGGAGAGAAAATAAATGAGTCATTATACAGAGAGGAGCAGACACGCATGTACTGTAATACATTAAAGAAACACATCCTGAATAAGAAAAAGGGGGAAAAGACTAAGCAATACTTGCCACACCTCAGGAATATTAATACTGCGGCTCACATAAGGTGAAAGGTCATACGTTTATAACTTGTTGCAATCCGATTAAGAGCAGCAGAAACTCCACATTTCCATTCAAAAGAATCCTCAGAACGTTCACTGAAAAAAACCCACACCCTTGAAAATATCGTTTGCACCAAAATTTATCACCACATCTTTGTAAACACCGTCACAGCGCTTCAAAGAAAAACAAAGATTCTCAGTCCGTTAAACAGTCATGCTCAGCTTTGTGTTTTACATCAAAGGCCGAGAGTTCTTTGTTCATCTAAATTAACAACAGGCAAATAAACAGAATGTTTACAGCCCTGCACATTAAATGGCCAACTAGGTTTTAAGTCATCGATAAGACAAAGAAACCTCCCCACTAACAGCACCTCCGTGTCTCGGGCGAACTGGGGTTTTGCTTGACAACAGTAGCGAGCAGCAGAATTCATTTGGATTCTCATCATTCACACGTCTGTTGAAAGTCAGAGCATCTCTGATCTCCCGCTGAGCGAATACCAGGCGCAGCAACGCTTGAGTAGAATTGGGTGAAAGTGATTAGAGGCGGAGGAGGACACATTCTGTCCATCACGTCAGTCATTTGGAAAAGCCCTTTAGTGTAAACTTGCACCTTACTAAATATATGACTAATCACTTAAATTGCTGCTGCTGTTTGAGAAACTACTTTAACCTTTAGGCACTGATATGGAAACTTCCAATTAGTTCCTGAAGGAAACTGCATGCGATCAGGAGTCTTCTGCTTCGGATTCCTTCCTTCCTCTAGTATTGCAGAGCGATTACAGACCCCCACCACCTCACCCCTTCCTTTATCCTCACTCATTTCCTTCCCTGTTCTGCCTCACTCTCATGTGACCCACATAGATGAGACCAAAGAAACTAGAGAAAGACCCGAAATCTATTGGACACGCAGTCTCACACACACCTCTGGTATCCATATTTAGCTCTGCTACCTTCCCATCACCAGGTCATTCTGTCCCAGGGGATGCTGGGAAGTCTGATGAGGCCGAGTGAACATGGTGGGTTCTCAGACTGAATGCATTTTGTGCTTGATTATATCTGCCAGTCCATACAGACACTTTTACAGCGTTTAAACAATGAATCAGTCTAGGGTTTAAAAGACACAAGTCAGACACCATTTCCAACTTAATTGACACATTGTTCACTTAGGAAAACAAGCTCAATGAAACTGATGGTTTATCAATAAAAGACCACTGTGTTACTACGGTACATTTCCAGTCCACGTGCGGCACAATCCCAATAGAGACTGATCCGCAAAAAGAAAAGCACAAACTGCTCCCCATCTGAATTTAAAAAGGTGAAGCTGGTGTTCAGTTTGTATTACATCAAAAAATCCAGAAGAAATTCAGTTCAAGAAATTGAACTAAACCAACTGCTCAAACATAAGAGTTTCAGCAGCAAGTATGTAGGAAGCACTCGCCAAACAAAGTGAGTTGGCGGTAATGAAGGAACGTGTGTGTGTGATCTCACCACAGGAGTCCTCGTCGCTGCCATCGGTGCAGTCCTCGTCTCCGTCACACTGCCACACGGAGGGGATGCAGCGACCGTTTCCACACTGAAACTGGCTGGCCTCACATTCGGTCTTTGTACCTGCAGTGGAAGACAAACACAGGGGCTGTGAGGAAAACGCCAGTGCTTGTACAGTGAAATGTATACATTTACAATTGGTTTGCCATTTGCTTGTTGCTATGACTGGGGTGTTAAATGAACTAGCTGCCAAGCCGAGCAGCTCTCAGCCATCCAGAGGCAGCGGCCCCATTTGTCCACAAAGTCCTTGTCGACAATTTAGCAGCAACTCAGTCAACAACCACGATAACAAATGACTGGTGAAATAACTTCAATCCACCTCCACTTGTGTAAATCAATGCTCACAGGCTGAAACATCTCAGGTCATCGCTAAACACATTTCACAGGAGGGGGAAATAAAAAATCATCCCCTCACTGTGTTTGAGCACTTAGAAACACACCGCCAATGTATGAACACGCCCAGTGATTGAATTTGCAATTGAAAATGACGCGACATCAATATTTTAGTGGGGAGCTAAAAGTCAGTGTCCTGAAAATGACTTCAGGCCGACATCTGCTCAACTGTCGTGTGAAGGACGCAGAAATGTGAGGTGAAGGAAACGGGGAAACCTGCAATACGTGACAATTTCCTATTCTCAAATTCCTATTCTAGAGTAATGGCTTGACATCAAGTATGAGAAGATTTGAAGAAAGGCTTACAGTGAGATACTACATTACAATGTGAAAAATTATTTATCCATCGGTGGAACAGATCAAACTGAGGTGAGCTGGCATTCAAAGACCGAAAAACCTAATATGGACATAAGAGTCCATTGTTAGAAGATTGAAGGAATACAGTAAAAACAGTCAAGCCAAACTATTGTCAATCTCAAATCATTAGTCAAAGAGCATCGACATTCAAATCCTCTGTCTGGTTCACACAAAAACAGAACTACTGTCAATATTTTCAACAAGGTAGCTTTTGTAGTGCAGCTGTCCCTAAATTACTGTCTGACCTTGACTATTGTTTCAGTCCTCACTGAGCGTCTGTCCGGGTGGGTCAGCCAGCACATGGCGATGAAAGAAACCCCACGAGTTCAGATACAGCTAAATCACTTCCACTGAAGAGGTCAACTACAGATCACATGGTGCCTGTAAATAGTCTTTGGCGCAAGGAGACACAACAAACATGTTTTCTCCCAAAATGTATTTCCCAAGTTTTATTCTGGTTGTTTAAGTGGGTCAACAGTCCCTTAAAAAATGAAACATTCTTTATTCCATTTGAACCGGAGGAGCGTTGAAGTGAGCCAGCAGCAAATAGCTTAGCTTCTACTAACTATGTAGCTGCAGCCACTTTGAATCACAAACGGCGTACAGTATTTATGGACCGTTGGCCGGTACATCCGCTACAAAAAAAAAAAAAAAAAAAAAGGGAATCATGTTGCAGCACAGGCGGCGGTAGACTTCCAGCCATCAGTGCCAACAGCCTGCAGCCTTCCATTCAACCGAGAACACACCAGCTGTACGCCAAGGTCAACTTACGGAGCAGTGTGCCGACCTTTCAATCACCACAAAGCTCTATGGATCACAGCGGTTTCATTGTGGGAAACATGTGAACATAAACCCCTAAAAACCAAAAACGTTAGAAGACGGGAGAGGGACATAAACGAGTTGATTCCTTCCAAAGCTCAGAAACAAAAGCCTGCAGAAAGTTCATTGGGACCCTGTGACCAGTAAACAAATGCAACGAGTTCCATTACTGCAACAAATATCAACTGCTCATCTAGATCCTCAGCAAAAGTGAAAGCCAAAACCAAATTACAATGTAGGCACTGAATGAATGGCATTCATAACACTTTCAACCTTGGCATGACATCATCTGCAGATTGTGAGCGTCAGTTTTATTGCTTTAGTTCACTGCGGCGCTTTGTGCATCATGTATACATTGGCTGGCTGGATGAGGGCCTACTGTGCCAATCTATTCAATCCCTAACCCATCATACCACCAAAGTCTCTTTAGCATTGCCTTACTTCCCGTTACATCAGCCACTGGATCAGTGGAAGGATCTTACTTTAGTTCCTGTCGGCCGAGAGCATCTCCCTCCTTTGTTGAGGCCAGCGAACAGTTTTTGGTCCACGTATCCCACTGTTAATGGAATATGGGCCTTGTCAAGCAACTGTTGAGGGTTCTATGACAAGTCATACTTATCCAGGTCCTGGGCTGATAGTAGACAGCAAGTAGTGATTTAGTGGTACATTTTGTAAATTCGAGAACCATTCAAATTCTTTATCCTCCAATAAAGCTGGATAACTAAAAATAAGCCATTTCCTATGGAAAGGAAACAGGTTGTCAAATACGGTTTGCATGCTGGTTCTAGGTTCAAACGCATCTATGCCTCTTAAACGTGTACTCAGCACATCTATGGAGTGAAAGTGATCATTTACATCTCAGATCTACGTGGTTTAACTGTTCGCTTGAGCGTCATTAGAAAAGCCAGACACAAAACAGTCATGAGTCATTAAATGAAATATATTTTACAACCATGAAAGTGCTGACCCTTCTAATCAGGCGGAACCAATGCTCCTTGCGCACGCACATTTAATGCTGACTGAGCGATTATCATGAAAAGAGCCTTGGGCACCCAGTGACATCAGTTCTGTTAACAAAAACAAATCAGCGTATTAAAAGCAGAAGAATCGTACGTGCAAAAGCAGGCATTTCAGATCTAACGGTCGTTATATTTCAGTTAGTTTTGTAGAGTCAATTCCAGCCAACTAGTGTGTTCTCAAAATGTTGAATATCGTTCCAACACAGCCATTTAGCAAAGCTTTTACCCAAATAATCCAAAATGTTATACTCAAACTTTATAGTTTAGCGTTGGTAAACCAGAAATTGACTTTGCAAAACACTACAATCAATTCCAGTAGCATCCTTTGTAGTTCATTGATATATTCAAAAATTAAGTGTCATTTTAAGTCACTGGACTTAAGACTCAATAGCTATCTGAGATCCCGACAATATCTGGATGGGATATCTAACAAGGGGTCAAGCTATCCATCCTGTGCATGTTATATTTGGATTATTCAAAGATGTCCGTTCCCCTACAGTAGAATTCTCATTAAAGACTAAATCAGCAAGCTTGCTCTCGAAAAGTTATGCAGTGGACGGCATCATATTTCCCCCCCCTTTCAGCACCGATTTTTACCAGTTACATCATGTTGCAGACCAAGTTGGGACGGTTTAATGTTCAGCAGAGGTTTGAGAGTCATTCGCCTCCACTTACCAGTTTCCCTGGGAAATCTATATCCAGAAGTCCAGGCTGTTACAACTGCAGTTTGCACAAGTAATGGAAACAGGAGATTGATTAAACAAGCTGCCACATGTAAAGCCACGTACACACTTTACAGTGTGTTGTTTCTTTAAGGGCGTAATCTCTGGGGTCACTAGCTCAGTGTCTCTACAAAAACCCATTGATTTGTTGCCTGGGTAAATGCACCCTGCCAAGTGACGGCTTCAGCATTAAATTGAAGTCGGCAAAACCGTGCTAGCATCAATACCTTTTCAAATACACTTTCATCTTGACTCAAATACTTGCAGACAGTGACCAGAGTACACACACTATTTAAATCGCCAATTAGCTTGATACAGCCACGAATGGTGTGAATTTAAAAACCACAGATCATTTTACATGATAATTAGTCCCCGGGGTTTGAAACCATAGATTCAAGAGCGGTTTGGCTGCAATGAACCAGTCTCCAAAATAGTGGATCACTGTGCACAATAGAAATGCAGTCACACTGGAGGTCACGGTAATGCAATTTTACCCAGTAACTGTTGCAGTCTACTCCTCCTCCCTCTGTCCACCACTACGCACACGTCAAGAACCAAGCAACCCCCCCCCCCCTCCAAACATACAGCAGAGGATCTGTGTCTAGCATGTATCACAGTAACCAGAGGAGGAAAAATACATTTTAATCAGGCCAGCATTGCTGCTGCGCTTGCCACTATCTAATTTGTGTTACATCTTGCTCAAATAGGGTGACACAATATCTCTGTGTGTGTGTGTGTGTGTGTGTGTGTGTCACACGCAAATTAAGCGGTATGAAGCAGAGAATGAAAAGGAGATGGTGGGTGTCTGCTATGGTGAGAGTGCTCACGTTACTAGCGCCACAATTTGTTCAGTTTTCTCTAAAAAGGCCATTTTTCACAGTAGGTAGGAATCCGAGACACAAAAATATCTGCAACACACAAGAAATCCAACACAGCTCTCAGTCTCTGAGCTTCTTCATAATTTAGCCTGCCTGCCAACTTCTAGCGCTGCTGAAATCAGCCTCGAGCGGACTAATCAAACGATGCCGATGTCGTGTTCAGGTATGCATTTTTGCCCAGAAAGGAACCTCCACAAGGTCGGCAACTAAGCATAGCGAAGACGGCTCTACATATTGGTATTGCAAACTTAATGGAGTGGACAAAGAAAAAAAAAAATGGGCAAGTGGGAGCAAACTAAAATCTAATAAAAATAAAAAGGTTGAGGATGCGACTTGGTCCTGTAACAGTCAATCGCTAAATGGATCAAGTAAAACATGAATTTTAAACTTTCCTGCTTCTGGGTAAGGACGTGCCAGGATTTCTGAAGGGCTGCGCAAATTAGTTATTTATCAGGGGATTAGAATTATAACACAAGGTGAATCTCACAGCAGGAGTTAGTTTTCACATAAACCAACAGTGTGCAATTCAAGAGATATTTGATTTAGAAAAATACCGAAGTCATTTGTAAAAGCAGAGAAATATACACAGACTAAACAAATCATTTTCCATAGTTTCACAAATCACAGAGGAAGTATTTCTGCAAACTGCTCGTCAATTACCACCAGGTGGGAATACTACATTAACCTCGGCCACTTAATTAGGCCCTCATTGGAATCACCTGCGGCAGGTAATTGCGCGCGTGGCTCCTCCCCCTCCGCGCGCTCAGCTGTTGCTACACTACACAGGGCCGGTCCGTCAACCAACCCCGGAAGGCGCTTTAATCAGCCCACCGTAACCCTCCGTATTCCCCGCTTCCCTCCTCCCGGCTTCCACTCGTGAATAAATAAATACATTAGAGAAACACACGGGAAGTGAGTGAGACACCAAGTCACGCGTAACAGTAGCAGAAGCATGTGTTAATTCGTGTCAGTGTTTCCAGTGGGGGGGGGTCATATAAACTAATGTTAAAGGGATAATTGACCATTAATGAGTGGCGACAATCGGCTGAACAGCAGGCGACACAAACCACACGGGCCTCTTAATCCCGCTTTCATTAACAGAGCAAAAGACACACACAAAAACACAAGGACGAACGCGTTCATTATAAATACATTACAGACCGAAACAAAGCAGGACGTGTCCCAGTTCTGAGACGTTCTTTGGGGGAAGGGGGGGGGGGGGTGGTGGTGGTCCTTTGCGGGGAAGAGATGAAAGGTTAACCGGCCCAAGGTGCAGCAGAGCCCGGTCGTTCCTTCAGTGAACAGCCGAGGCAGGTGCACAGCGGATACACACCGCGTGTTTCCCCCCCGCACACACAGTAACACACACACACACACACACACACAGAACCGGAGGCTCACCGTGGACGTCAATGCAGCGCTGCAGACATATTAGCATCGGCAGCAGCAGGATCCCGGGCGCGGACGTGATCATCTCTGGCGGCGTTCTGGCGTCGGCCTGCTTCGCCTTCTGATCCGGTTCGCTTCACGCGTAAAAAAAAAAAAAAGACCACGCGACGCAGAGCCCGCAGACGCAGAAACCAAAAAAAAAAACCTCCCCCCCAGATCCGCAGCGCGCACAGAAACACGACCGTGTCGGAGGAGGAGCGGTGAGAACTGAAGGGAGGTGTCCGACGCGCAGACCACGCGCCCCCCTCCTTTTAATCTCGCTCTACACCCGCGCGCCGCGGGGGGGGGGCCGTCCGGGGCTCCCGTCGCCTCCCCTCACGCGCGGATCCGTTGGTCGGCGAGAGTCGACGGTGACGAGCGTCCCCGGTAACCGGGCTGTTAGTGGCGGCGCACGGAGCCCGTCACAGTGTGGGTTGTTGTTTTGTTTTTTCCCGTCTTGGAACGTTGTTAACCCGTCGCTGTCCGCGCGCCACGAGGACGTGGACTCTATTCCGGTTGGGAGATCAAAGAAAGGGGAATGTAGGTCAATAATGGCCTACATTCATTCTGACATTTAGATTACACTGCTTTGTCCTTTTATGGAGGACCAACTGCAACGTGCGTGATTAAACTGCTTCTACCAAAAAGGGACTTTTTACATTTCTATATTTACATTTAAATGACATCACCCTCAGCCAGAAAGGTGCAATTCGTTGTGAAGAAAATACTGTACTGTGATGGCACAGCAGAGATGATCTGATTTACATTTGATGATTTATGTCTGAAATATCCACAATTCTGAACATAACCTTTAATAAGCCTTATGTTTTGCTGAACAGTGGCCACTGTGACCAGAAGTGTTAATTACAGGACATGGAAGATTACATTACATGTCATTTAGCTGATGCTTTTATCCAAAGCGACTTACAATAAGTGCAAGATGCTCTGACTTTGCTGTAGAACAGGACTTTTGGTCATTACGTTCCCACTTGGGATGTTTGGGGTAGCTGGAGAAGATGCTGAGGACGCAGCATCTTCACAACGGGAGAAGAAAATGAGACAATCACGGCGAGATTGTCCCACGTATGGAGTTGAAATGCACGTAAAAAGAATCATCACCATTAAGTCAACACTAAAGAAGATCAAGTTATCATTTTGGCAACTAGTGAATTAAAATACACCCAACCGTTCAAAAGAACCATATGCCTAGTTTTTGGTTTTATCACCGATCATTTTGTGAGAGCAGATGTTTCCTTTTTCAAAGAGCATACATCTCGTAACCAATCTCAGCTCTTGCATTTCTTCCCTTCTGTCTGTCTGATGCCATTCATCCCCATTTTGATCACCAGGCCTTTTGAATTTTCCAGAGGGTTGCGATCTGCCAGGTTTCATCGGCTGCCATCAGTCCTTATCAGAGGATTAAGCCTCGTCTTCAGTGACGGCTGATGCACCCCAAGGCGCACTCTGTCCCAGATTTATACATCCACTGGAGAAAAAAACACACAAAAACTACTGTAAAATGCTGTGTGAGGAACTCTCCGTCTCTCTCTGCCTCAGTACCTCTTTCATGCAGTCACCTCCAAAAACACACACACACTTTAACACTCACACAACGATGACAGATCTAAGGGTCGGAAATCCAGTCTCTTACAAAATACAACTGTGGAAAATCCTTATTTGCAAAGGAACTGGCAGGTGCCTGAACAGTGAAGACATCTAAATCCACCCCTTCTATTCGCAGGATAAACACCTCTACCTGCTGGGAGGAATAAGAGATTTGAAGGAACAATGAGTCGAGTGTGATGCAGTCGACTCATTGTTATGCAGTTATGGATCAGTAAACATAACATAACTCAGTGACGCCGGACGGCGCGTTCAGATCACAAACAGCGCGCGTGTCATAACTGGCAGTGAAATCCAATCCAGTGGTCTGATTTATTACATCTGTGAAGTTGAAGTCCTGCCACACACTGAAAACACCGCCAGTATCTTCGGTAAACATTTGGGATGATGTAATGTTGCCCCTCAGGTAAACGCTGTTGGCTCAGCGCCGCCACGTTGAGACGGGATTGAAGGTGATAGAGTTTAATTTTAACACCTGTCACAACCCAAGGGGAACATTTACAGTACCAGATGGTTCCGTTTTAACAACTTTTCTCCAACATGCACGTTAAACTGTAACCAGAATCATCAACCAAAAATATATAAAAACACAAAAACTAAAACAGGTATAAACATTTACCAACTATGCACAATAGATACAAATATATGGAATTATATATTCATGTTGTCACGTTTGTGCCCTCAGTGTCCTGCCTCTCGGCCCACCGGGCTCTGGAGGGCCGCGTGTTCCCTATAAAGGCCGACTGGGCGCCAGGAGGGCCGGCCTTCTATTGCTGGGGTCGCATCACATTTCACGGTGACATGTATTCGAGCTTGTGTGTGTCTGTGTGTGTCTTCCCAGCGAGTGTGGTGAAGCCCTGTCACTTCCTGAGCCAGACTCTGCTTACCTCCGGATTGGTCCCTCTGGCTGCAAACACAAGGGAGGCCAACGGAAAGGAGTTTGGTTTCCCTGCTGCTGATGTTCAGAGGTATTTTTATTCCACAGCAAAAGGCCAACGATACAAAATGTTCCTGCTTTACAGAATCACATAATACGTCTTTCTATTGCACCGTTTCCGGAGATGCAACTCCCATATGCTGCACGCTTAAACCAAATCTAATACTCATATATATAACCAGATAAGAACATAACTTAAACATATACGACCAATCCAACAATGAAATTGATATTTAGTACAAATGGAGGTGCAGTATGAGTGATTAAATGTTGATAAGGAGGCCTGAGGGGAGAAACAGCTTTTATTGTGTGGTGGTTTTGCCGTACAGTGCTCTGTAGCGCTTACCGGAGCGGAGGAGTCTGAACGGGTCGTGTCCAGGGAGTGAAGGTCTGCAGTGACCTTTGCTGCCCTTTCCTGACCCTGGTGCTGTAGGGGTCCAGGGTGGAGGGAAGACTAGAGCCAATGATTCTCTCTGCAGACCTGTTCCTGTCCTGGTTAGTGGCTGATCCAAACCACACAGTGATGGAAGATTGGAGAATAGACTGGATGATGGCGGAGTAGAACAGGACCAGCAGCTCCTGAGTTCAACCGCTGCTGAGCCTTCTTGTTAACTACAGCTCCATGGTTGATTTGGTAAAGAAATAGAGAGTAATTTAATATAAAACAATGGAAAAAAACAAACTAAAACAAGGTCCAACAGCTTAGTTTTGTTCTCATTTTGAAGTGAAGCGCCACTTTTATGGCAGAGAACTGCACACAGTCCACAGATATCAATACTTCTTCAGACCAAACAGCTTCCTCCTCTGCTCACTGGGAAGCTGCGCGGTGCTTTCACCTCTGGCTGCAAGCACATATTTAATCACGCCTAGATTAGGCCCTGGTTTCTGAAGACGTTTTTCGTTTTCTCTGCTTAGCCCTTTGAGGCGGTGGCAGAGAAGGGAAGGAAGCTTCTGCCGAGACTTAATACAACACCAGACCTATTTATCGTGTCCAAAATGAGCCCTAGGCTTGTACATCATGATTACAATAATTGGAACTACAACACTAAAATATATAGTTTAATTTAATTATGAGTGGATAAAAACGGAAAAGTATCGGTGGAATAAAAGTGAAAAATACACGGTTGCTTATATAAACACAAGGTCTAATTAGTGCACGGGTGGACTATATTTAGCCTGCTAATCCCATCATGCATTTCAGTCGTGATCAGTTTGGAAACGTGCTGCGCTCTCTCTGTGGTCTCATATGTCCTCTTCAGCACCACAGACAGCGACACAGAGCACATCTGGATATTTAGCATCTGCTCCGGGAGGCGAGAAACAGCAGTTGACCGCATGCAAGCAGCCGTCCTTACAAAGTGTGTCTTGTCAGATGAAGCATCCAGCACATTATGACCTACTACTTCGTACTGCGGTACATTGAACTTCGGATTCATCACTTAACAGGATTTTAAAACACCTCAGGATTAACTGATGTCTTTCTTTACATGTATAAATACCATCTCTCTCTCTCCTTTCTTAATAACTGCCAAGATGAACTCTTACCAGATCACTAGCTAGCACGAGCTCTGGCTCGCGTATAATTCTATTCAGTAGGACTACACTTCACTGTCTTTAAATTATTCAATAACCCGACTACAGACAGCCAACAGGTGATGTCAAAGGTTTAGATTCCGTGGACAAACAGACATTTCCGACCGTGCCCTCCGCGTGGCCTTAACGCCACGTAGCGACCATCGGTATGACATTTTGATGAATATTTAAAGTTGGTTTCCTCTAATATTAAGTTAGCATTTCAGTAAGTTACACTTAGTTACATGGAGAACGCATATATTCGCATTCTACAGTTCCTGAATATGTTGTATAACCATGTCTTACCCAAATGTCTTTTCCAAAAAAAGACAAAACAGGAGGCTGTGAGCAATCTTTTATACTCTCAACATATATTTCTGTAGAAAAACATATTTACATTTTTACACATTTTATACAGTACTTACAGCATTCATACATTAATACATAGCAATTTATAGCATTAAAGTCAGTACTTTTTCAGTACAGTACTAATTTTCAGAATGTCAAAGTTTTAGCAGTTGAGAATGAATTTCTTCATGATCAATTCGTCAATTAGCACCACTTACAGTTTGGTTTCATTTCTTGTTAGTAGGTGAAAAGTGTTCTACTATCCAAGGACTTCACAACAAAAGTGCAACAAATCAAAGCATTACAATCCCCCGGGATGCTTAAATAGCAATTACAATTCCTGCAGTTGGTCGTGAGATCTGTACACTAAATAAATATGTGTTGCCTAATAATTAAACAGTAACAACAGGCTTATTTTAGCTTTGTGAAATACATAAAGACATTCCTGTCCCCTCATAACAGTCCCACACAGGTCCAGTTGTTGGCATAAGCACTTGTCAGTTTTAAGTCTTTACAAGATGTCGGATTCAGTTCAGAGCATTATTCTTGTCTGTAGGAATAGTTCACAAAATGGAAGCATCCTCCGCAATATGTAACTTTAATTCAATTCAATTTGAAATGCGATAAATTTATTAAAATCCTTCAATAACAGGTGTATCAGTATTTGTAACACATCCAATGAGCAAACGTCCCTGTGGTCGACTCTCGTATGAAAACGCCACGCTGTCTGCAGAGCTGTGTTTAGAGCACGACACATTAACACGTGTGGCAACGGACCCAGTGGCTTTATACTTCAACAGCTCACTACAACATCAGCCCTCCACTCCGAGATGCACTTTGATCACACGCGTGACAAACCCCCGAGGACCAATGTCCTTTGGAAAATGAAAGGTTGTGACTTGATTGAGTTCCACAGTTAAAGTTCAAGGCTTCCTTCTTTTACAAACATCTGCATTTCTGTTGACGCAACTTTGTTTGTTTGGTGGTATTAATCCAATTTCAATTCAATCAATGTTTTGTATAGCTTTTTATACAGTATGTTCATTGATACGTTTTTTTATGGATATATATGCTCGTCTACCACAGTCATCTGAATGTAACAGTTATGCTGTTTGGTTGATTCCACCTGTTTATCCTTTGTTTAAAAAAGTAAATAAAACCACATTTTTGTCGTGAGTGCCGGGATGGTTCTCGCTTTGGGTGGTTCATACATGTCACACAAGCAGGGACTTGACCTGGGCACTTACGTGCGGGCTCAACGGGACCAACCCAAAGGTCACCATGGTTTCCGTTTGACATCGACGCTTTTATGCGCTGTGCAACGGGGAACAGGCGCGATCCGTTCTGATAGGCTCTCCGCTCTCTCTCTCGACAGCGCTGATCAGCGGCCCGGAATGTTTTGGTAGGGCTTCTGGAGCCGCAGCGAGCCGTGGTGCGGGAGGGGATGCTTGTGGTAGTGTTCCATCACGGCTGAGAGAGAGGTGAAGGGGATGTCGTTGTCCAGAAATATACGATCCTCCTGGCAAAGACACAGAAGCCTTTAATGCTGCGGACGGTACGTTCTGCCTGACGTCTGAACACAGACGGTTAGAGTTGTACGAGTGTAGCAGCAGGGCTCACCTCTTCAAACAGCCGGTAGTTCCTGGCTTTGCCGATACTGACGTCCCACACCACCAGCACCTGGGAAACACACCAGAAGGGTTTTATTAGTCCGGATGTTTTGAGTTAAATGAACTGGAAATGGATTAGTAACACAGACTACAGTTATTAAAACATAATATATCACAGCGTCCCATTGCTGCCAACATATAATGACCTTTTGTAGACTATAAGACGTTGGACTGAAAAGGTCCGACTCCTGCAGACTCATCACAAATATCTTAACGCTTATTTAGTCTCACAGCTGCCTTTCCCTTCATTCGACTTTTCTAAATACATGACATAAGATGCACATGTGGCTACATGTGCTACTCTCCAAATTACAAGTCCAATCCATAGCTGGGAACTTATCCCATTATGTATTTTTTCATGAAGCCCCAGCTGCTTTTTATTATTGGTTTTTACCTTTGCTGTTTTGGTTACGGAGTTGCGGATGCAGTAGAGTCCGTCCTGCGGAGCCATGGCGCTCTCTCTGAACATGCTGCGGGTACAAACAGCTCAGGTTACAGGTCATATAGTCTGTATTGTGTCTCATATTTGAATTATCGGTATGAACTCTGATTAGAAGGATTGAACCATGTAGCATCCATACTGCACTTTAGCAGGGAATGTTTCAGCATTAACTTCTAAATTACAAAAGTAAAGTGTAGCCCGACTTACTTTTCTATAAAGCAGGTGTCAGTGGTATCAATGAACACAGAGTCTGGCAGCAGCACCTGCAGATGGAAAAACCTGGTTAAACACAATGTCTTTATTGGAGCGTTGGCGTAACCCTTCTACGGTGCCTGTGGCATCCAAACGAAAATAATATGTTTCATATATTTTTCAAACTTAATGGCTCATTTTCTGCAAAAAACGCATTTTCATTGACCGCACACAGTAACCCCCCCCCCCCACTACATTCATATTGCATACATGTACATGGTGTTTGGGTGAATTGGGCAAATACATTTGTGGAAATCGTTTGGTCCTGTTTACCTTTCAAGTTACAAGTCTACACTGGGAAACCGGATGGAGGAGAAAAATCTAGGGTGTCTCAGGGACACAGGGGACACAACGTCAAATGCAACAGTTTCTTTACATCGTACCCGCTGGGACAGGATCTCCTAAAGAGGAAGCGGACCACGGTGGGAACCACCAGGAAAAACAGGGCTGTTTATATATTGGGGGAGAAGTAAACATCTGTTGAGTTTTTTTAACATAAGATTGTTTGATGGGGTTGAATTAAAAAGCCCAGAATATAACGGACCCACGACATCAGCTTGAGATTTGCTCAGAAAACACACACTTTTGAGTTGTAGGTATACACATTATTCTGTTGTAGGCCTAAAATCACGGGGACTTAATCTGGTCTTGCATTTCTCTAAAGGTGAAAATCAGTAGTAGTGTTTTTGTGCTCCCTCATCTCAATGACAATCTGGGATTCAGAGAGTCAGAGAAGTGCAACATCTACGATGGCAGTGAGCGAAGCGGTCTGCGGGTCAATATCACTTGTGACATCACTTCGGTCGTTCTTACGTCCTCGTAGTCGTCGTCGTCGGACTCCTCCCCTCCGCCGCGCTTGTTCGAGCCTTGCTTCCACCTGGACTCTGTGGGCGTCTCGTCTCCCAGGGAACGGAAGCTCTGGCCATCTGGAGATGCTCTTCTGGGTGGGGGTGAAAGCATCTTAGTGTGACAGCTTCAACCTTTTGACATCAATACGCTGATTTCAGCGGTAAATGTTTAAGCCCCTCCGAGTCCAACTCACTTCAGTGGGGTTCCCGGCGGATTGCACGTGTCTGCCGGCAGGGGGGGTTTGAGTGTTGGTGGAGGAGGTTTGGGTATCCCAGACTTCTTGTGAGGTTTCAGCAGAGGAGAGAGCGCGGGGGGGCCGTGCAGCGGTGGGTGACTGGAGGGCGTCTTGCTGGGGGACAGGAAGTCGGACGCCGCAGGTCTGAGGCAGGACCCTCCAATGTTACACGGATGAGGAGGTGGGCTCGGCTTGCTGCGGTGATTGCCCATGACCCCGTGGTGGTTGTTGCCCACTGATTGGCTCCCACCAGGACTGAGGGGGCAGTGGGTGGGACCATTTACCGCCATCCTGTTCACTAATTTCTCACAGATGGGCAGAGTGGCGGGGGTTTGGACCGACACGGCCGGCAGGGGCCTCCAGTCTCTCTTGTTACTCCCGGGTCCCCCGACGGATGTCACCCTGCACGGGGGGGATCTTTTGGCGTTGGGGGGAGGAGGAGGCGGGGGGGTGGGAGACACAGACCTGTGCGGGAGGGAGACCAAGGGAGGTGGAGGGGGCGCGCCTTTGTATGGCTCCTTCAAAAAGGATGGAGGGGGATGAGCGGGCGGGGGTTTTTTGGGGAGCGGGCTGGTTGGGATTCTGTGTAGTGGCGGGACGGGAGGAGGAGCGCCTTTCTGGTAAGCAGGACTGGAGTCTTGACGTTGGTGAAATGACACCGGCACTGGGGGTGGGGGATAGGACGGGGGCGGGGCCGTGGGTCGACCTAAAGATATAAAAAATAAAATGAATCAGCCTGGTTCTCCAGTTTGTGATTCGTCTTTCTAGATGTTTATTGTGTAACATGGTTGACACTGCATACCGAGAGCACACGGACCTGCACAACAGACTTTTACCTCAACTTCAAATTCAAATTGTATAATAAGCAACAGAAACCGGGTGGGATCTGGGCGTCCCGATCTGACCGTTGACCTCAGTTGAAGTTCATTGTGCCGTTTCCTCTATTGTAACAGGCACTACACATACCAGTAAGCTAAAGTGGTGTGTTGGTGTGTGTGTGTGTGTGTGTGTGGTTGCGTGTGCGTGCGTGCGTGTGTGTAATTGTTGGCATCACCTGTGGATGTGGGTGAGTCGCTGTCCGGCTCCAGATAGTCATCCTCATCGTCATCCTCGTCATCGTTTCCATATTCTACACACGGAAAGAGCCAATACGTCAGTGTAATGAAACACATGCGCGTGTGCCACTACATTTGGTCCATTGAGACGGTCTTACCATCTTCTGCGTTATCGACGTGGTGTTTTATATCCATGAGCGTCTCAATCGTTCCATAGAACTTTTCTGCATCTGAATCGGAGTCACTGAGGCAACAAACCAAAGGTACCAAGTTAGCTGGCCGCACAACATTATGATTACTGCCACCACAACTTCACCCGCAAAAGTAATTGTGTTTGTATTGAAGCTCTTTGATTTATGTTTATTGTGTTATTCACAATGCTGGTTTAGGAGTTAGCCACATGTTCACATGTCACAGAAAAAGACTAAAGCTATATAGCTTTAGCTATAAAATATAAGGGAAGATAAATATTGAGAAATCCCTGCCAGATTAGGCTTCCTCAGCAGAGACGTACTATAATGAACGGCTAATAAATGATGCAAAAATGTGTGAGACACAGAGCCTGCAGTGTGCCATTACCTTGGAAAGTGGGACTCTTTTCTCTCATTATAGTGATCTATCTCCCTCCGCAGGTATCGCATCCATTTCTGTAAATAGAATCACAATACATATTGTGAGGAGTTCAAACATATGAAACGACAGAGAGTGACTTTTGTCAGCACACAAAAAACTGAAATAATTCAAGTGATAAAAGTTGATATTAGTTAAAATAGCTTAAAACTATTCCCCCAAGCTGTCATTACGTATATGAGCACGGGCACGGTTTTTCTCACCCTCCTCTCGTCCTCGCTGGCTGCAGAGAAAAGCCACGTCCTGTGTTTTTTACTGAAGTGGACGATCTTGAAGGGAAACACGTTGCTGGACGTCGTCTCCTCTGCTGCTCTCATCACTCTGTGCAGGAGGATAAATGTGTTTTGCTCAAGACACATTTGTAAAAGTGCTTTGAATAAAAGTACAAATTCTTTGCATTTAAAATGCAAATAGACCCATAATCTAACGCATGATACTCTCCGTGCAAGTTATTGCGCTCCATCTTAAGCCAAGCTCATTACATTTTGGGTAATTATGTACTGGAGACGTGTATACAGATATTGCACAGGTGGTACTGACCTGTTGTAGCCGTTGAGCGAGAACGCCCCCTGGGGTGCAGGCGAGGTACTGCTCTTGAAGTAGTACATGCAGCCCTTGTGGATGATGATGTACCTCAGGGGCCCTGGAAGACAGGAAACGTGCATTCTAATAATCTGGGGTTGAGAAAGATTCCGGGGCATTCCGCTATGCGCCCACGCCTGACCTGGTTGTTGTTTGTGAACTCACATTTCAAGAGGCTGAACTGGCTGCCTCCCTTCTTGTGGAGGTATCCCGAAGTGGAAACTCCTCCCGGCATGGTGAGGAGGTTCTGAGCCCCGATGGCCGGCATCGGCACAGGCCAGGATATCTCTGGGGACGACATGGTTCTGCCGGAGAGGAAAAGAGAGCGGCCCTCGTTATTACTGCTGAATCCTAAAACAACAATGAATCTCTTCATTAGAAGAAGTGAAAACCTCAATTGATTCCCTATCTTTCAACAGTACTCTCATATTACTGTCATCGGAAGATGTCGGAGCAGGCTACGTGTTTGTGGAGGTAATCGGCTGGTTCACCAGTAAACAACAATTGGGCATTTTATTCTTTTGTCGCGTCAGATGGAATTGGCCACGTTTGATGTTGTCCAGACGTCAGTACAATATGAATAGATAAGACGTGCACGACAGCAAAGAAAGTTGAAGAAGTTGAAGTTGAAGTGGAAAGAAAAATCCAGTTCTAAAAGTCCTGGACCTGAGATCAGATCCAATGACGGGCGAGACCAACACATCTGTGCAACTTCTCTCAATGACACAGCTGCTGCGACCGATCCCTCATCGTCTCTCCCACAGCACAACACAAACATCTTAACTAATATGTTTTCCTCACATCATTTGATCAAATGTAAGATGAGTGCATTCAATTGCAGCAGAAGCTTTTCAATAATACCGTAAAAATAATAGCTGTTGCTATGAACAGTTATATACATGTCGGAAAAAATACATAAAAGTATTCTTTAAATTATGTAAAAAGTGGAATACTCCCTACATGGAGTAATGCCACTTTTTCAGAAAGTCGCCGCTCACGGCGTCACGCGCAGGAGTGACCTGCTCCGGCGTTGCCTACCTCCTGTTGCGCCTCCTGCTCTGAACGGCAGCGCTCGCCCTCAACAAGCTGACTGTGGACGCCAACGCCGAGCGGGTCCAACACAAGACAAATCCCACTCCTTTTTCTTTCTGCCCTCACCGGCTTCGCTGTTCTGCCACATCCAAAAATAGGGAGTGACAGGGTTCTGGTTTCCTTCCTCCTCAGCTCACGCTCTCTTTTTCATTTCACTCTCTGATGCTTTCTCCATCCGGCCGGTCTCACCCACCCTTGCACATAAACACACTCAAACTGACATAATGCACTGACATAGTCACACAGATTTACACACACACACACACACACACACACACACACACACACACACACACACACACACACACACACACACACACACACACACACACACATTCAGCTCAGACAGGAAACGTGTTCAAAGCTTTCGGTTTGTTTGTGTGTTTGTGGGGAAGAGCAGCAGTCAAAATAAACATCTTAAGTAAATTTGAAAGTGTTTATGAGTTACTTCCAGTCTATCAACGGCATCTACTGACCCCAGAGGAAAAGAGAGGGAGTGGTGTGCGTGCGTGTGCATGTGTGTGTGTGTTTGTGTGTGAAACCCCGGAATGAAGAACTCCACATTCGCCTGGATTTCTCGCCAAATTCCACTCCCTTTTGCGGAGATAAAACCCTGCAGGGAAGGTCGTTTGGCTACTCAGTGTGCTGGAACACGTCTGCCTTCATGTATGAGGAGCACTTTGACATGCAGGCTGACTCGCTGAGGTGCACGCTGAGATGATCACACTCCAGGGATTTCTCATGTCAAAGTCAGCTGTCGTAACGGTGATGACATCATACTGACGACGACGAACAGATTATCCTCTTTCTGTTTCGAATTCTGAGAAATCTCTCTTTCAACAATTTGCAATTCCCCCTGGTGTGGAAAAGCACAACAACCTGGAGACGTCAGCATTTCAAACTGCGTTTCTCAGTAAATCCTTTATCGCTTATATTCCTCTGGCCAGTAAACAAGCGATGTCACCGGTCTTGCACACCAAACACAAAAAAACAAGCAATGTTGTGTCAGCTTTTGGAAATTCAAAGAAATACGAACCATGGGAGTGCGTTCAGGGAGAGGGAACAGGAACAGAAAGACACCATAAGTCAATCGGGTAGAGCTGCTGTGTGTACGTGTGTGTGTACGTGTGTGTGTGTGTGTGTGTGTGTGCGTGCGTGCAAGGGCTTCAAGAAGATATACAGAGGCTACGTGTTGGTTGCTCCCGGATAATACACCCCCCCCTCCCCCCCCACACACACATCCACACACTTTAAAGTTGCAGGTATACAATTTAGTCCTGTTGTGCGATGTGCAGCGATGATTTTGTTGCAGGCCGAGAGTCATGAATACACCTGGTTCAGAGGAGGTCGAAGTCCCCCAGCAACCTATCGATGATAAAAGGATTCCCCGTACTGAAGCAACGTGACCGCACTCTGGGAACTTCATGCTTTCCAAAGGAAGTGGCCTGAAAGTCTACGTCTCGGCAACCTTTCCATGAACAGAGGAGAGAGATCTGCTCGGAAAAACAAAGGAGCGATATCTGAAGAAGTCCCGGTCACATTCATGACATCTCAACTGCTGTCACTGCCGTCATGACAACTGGCACTTCAACCGCTTACAGCCCACACGCTATCTGTTACTTTCCAACTGTGCTGTCAGTGTCTCTCGCTGTTTACAGTTCAGCTGACAGGTCAACCGCTCGCAGCGGTGGCATCAGTGGTGGCTGGTGGATTTTTTTTTAGTAGGGCCAGCCAATCAGTTCCCAGTATGATTCAATGCAAAACAGGGTATCAAACATGCAGTATTACTTTGCAGTTTAACAGTTTAACAAAATAAGGGCATTTTATTCAAACAATACTGAATTGTTCATATATATATGTAAAAAAAACAATATTCAGAATATGATAACTACTACTACTACTATTATAAATATCATATAACAAATATATTATATTAAAGGATAAATATATTACAATATAAATATATTTATTTGAAATCTATTAGAACATATTTGTGTATATTGAGCACCTAGTTTGTTGGGGAAACACCCGATCAGTGTGTTGAGGAAAAACCAACTCAAAAGCCCCACAAAACTTCACACAATGAACTATTTTGGATAAAATGTGCACGTTTTCATCCACGTCCTGGTTGTCTGTCCCCAAAGTAGTCCTGTGTGCGTCGCAACTGGGTAGCGATGTTAGCATGTAGCTAGCTAAACATGCTGGTGTAGAGCTTCCGTTACACCTGTTGTCTCATCGTGAGGTCAAAGTATATTTTTTCTGCTCAAGGTGGGGACACGCCCCATTGTCCTCAATGGACCAACAGGTGGGCATAGTTGTCCTTTACATTGCAATTACAGATTTTGTATTTTAAGCTTTGATCCATTTCAGTGCTTCAATTGACACCGACGCATTTGGGGATTTTAATTGCAGCCTATAGTTCTCAGAGTCTCCGATTGAAAAGGGAAAAAAAAACATTCAATTTAGAATGTAGTTGCAAAATGTCCAGCATGTTATTATTATTTTACAATGACATTGTTGTAAAAGTAAACATTTTTGTAAAAATATTTCTATTATACCAAACTATGATTTTTATCTCATAAAATATCTCATATTTTGTCTTTGTTTTAAACCCCAGCCCCCAATAAAAAAAAACTAAACAGTGTTGTTGTAATGTTGTTATGAACTTATATTATATTATTATTTTCACCCTGTGTGCAGGATAAGCGGTTTGACGATGGATAAATATATTGTTACCATGTACAGAGTTAAAAAATGTTTTTCTTTATTCCAGAAAATACCAAATATGGCTTTGTGCTTCATCCTGAGCCGGAGATGCTAATCAGGGAGCAGCTGTTTGTCAGGAAGAACATACCAGACCCATTCAAACCCATTTCCTTCCTGGACACACAGATACGGACACAACCGAGAACAACGTCTGGGTTGTTTTGAGCTTTCAACGCTGTGGTGGGGCTGTGGAGCTGACGTCCAGGACAACTACGGGTTAATTGTAATAACGAGACGAGAAGAAGCTTAGGAAAGATGTAATGGGTCAGTGATGTGTTTGACCAGCATGTGTAATCAACTTCTATGTCTGGAATCACTTTCTGAGAATGAGAAAGGCTCTCTTGGATTCATTAGAATAGATTGACTCACCACAAAAACTGAAATAGAAGCTTGGACAGCGGTGTGATGGAAAGCCCCCGATTATCGACATCACTGTACAGTATTACTGTTAAATGGCAGATTTAGATACAAAGATACAGTGCGCTGTTTGTGTTGCACAATATACACTGCAGGATATACACATTAGATTTAAAATCAAACGATGTCTAGGAGGTTCAGGTTTAATTTAGGGGTGTACATCTGTATCGGCTGAAAAGTGGGCCAAACACAGAGAACCCCATTGCGCCATATAAATCCCTTTTCTTTCAAAATAGCAGTAACATGTTAAATGTTTCACTTCACTGGTAAGCCAACATACCGCAGTATTTCTGCATCTGTCGCTGACATTTTCTCCACTTCAACAATGTTGTACTAACACAATGCACGGCGCAAGTACAAAATAAAATCCCATTTTGTTCAAATAAAAAAACAAAAACATTCATTTCAATCATCATCATCATTTCGCCGCAAATTGTCCATCATAAAAACTGTAGAAATATGACAACTACAGGAGGCGTGTACGATGCTTCAAAGGCTGACAATTCCTGCGGTTTCAGGTGATTAGATTCAGATTCAGTGTGTGTGCTCAAGGCCCACAGCTGCTCATCGGGCCACCATGTTGCCTCTGTGACTCAACGCACGCACGCACAACACACAACCGCCAGCTGATCTAAAAGGTCGCAAGGAAACCGCTGTCCGAGCTGCAGCGCATGCACCAAAAACTCCCGTCCAGGAAACAGAAACCGCCGTACAGAGTGTGCATTTTCTTCCTGTTCAAACCCCCCCAAAGCCTCCCCCCCTCGACGGCCGACCACAACGGTTCCTCCGCTGCTGGTTCAGCCTCACATGTAGAACACACAAATAAAAACCAAGGAGTTAGAAGCTTTAAAAGGGGGTTCATCTGAACTCTGAAGTGTTTGCTTTCCCTTTGAATTCTCATCCAGGCGGATGATTAACGAGGCCGTGACGGAGCGTGTGAGCAAATCCAGAAATCCAGAATACCTGGTTTGAGAAGGTATTATCTATAGATTTGAAACGATGGACATTGACGGTTGTCGTCGGAGGTAAAGTATGAGTCAGACAGTTGATCAAACGAGATGTGGGCGATGTAGGTTGATCAACACTCTCGTAACATTATGAAAGGGGCACACGTTTCATGCCTGTCATTGCCGGCTACATATTGGAAGAATCAAAGCGACTCCATAGGTTCTTTCTTGTTATGCCCCGAAATTGTGACTTGTTGGACTTCATTTGCAAATACCTAGTTTGTATGCTGCCGGTGCCGTTTGACTGAATGGATGAGGCTCCCCCCACGTAGCATCACTACCTGTGTCCAAATATGGCAATTGTACTCGACAGTAACTGGCACACTTCCATGATGGCCACAGTGCGCGCGCACACACACACACACACACACACACACACACACACACACAGACTCTACAAACATAAAAACACCTGTATGAATTAAAAACCACAAAGATAACAAAAAATACTCAGAAAGTAAATTAGAAAGAGAAGAGAGAATCAGCGGCAGGAAGAGAGCGTTGAGATTTCGACCCTGACTGCAAACCCGCTCTCTCCCCGGACACGAGGGCCGAGAATGACAACACGTTTCCTGTAAACAAACTGTGGCGAGGATTCGCCGAAACAAAAACTGGCATAATTGGAGAACCTTCCTGCGGTCTTATCTGCACTGGGAAATTAAATGTATGCGTCCCTGAGCTGAAAAAAGACACCAGAGAGATGAGATTAGTGTCTGACGGCGGCCCGACGGCTTTGTTTAGATATTCCGGTTTGGACCATAAATCGATAGAAACTGGAATTGTCACCTAACTGTGCTGCATGGACAAACTCCATCGAAGCATCAGCACGTTGAGCACTTACCTGGGTGGGTTAGGGTTAGGGTTAGGGGGAGACTCAAACAGATGGCAACAGTTTGCCCAAATCTTTACCCTTGTTGTAGGAAGTAAAGCATTGAACTCCTCACAGGCGGATAGATGGATCCTTTTCTCTTAATTAACCTGCCGCTCACAATTCAGGCCTGAATTCTCTTCCTGGAGGTTTTGAACTAGATATCATGCGCTCAATCAGGTTCATGCTTGTGTTCTGGCGTTTTACTGAATTTTCCAAAACACATTGTTTGTCCTATTTCTTCTTTTTCGTCCTCCTGATCTGTTCTGATCTATAATAAACAAACCACTGAGCTTCATCTGAAATGTGTGCTCAGGTTTTCAGCTTTCAGAGGATTGTATACGTGAAGATCCCCTGTCCCCACTTGAAAGAATCTGAACGGGTCTCTTACAAATAACGGGTCCTTTTGGAATTAACGCGGCAGAATGACATTTGGACAATTCAAAAACATGCTCACTAATATCGGGCGTGTCCAAAAGGAGGATATGAGCAGCTGCGTGGCCAGTTGTAATCGGGCGTCATTCAGAATAATGACCTCAAGGTACACAGGTTCAATGCTGGCTTACCTTCCCCTTTTTGTGTTTTTGCCTCTCCGCTCTGCTGCAGTGGATTCTGTATCAGTGTATAATAATATAGCGGGCTCCCTCCTTCATTTGAGGGTTGGTTTTGGAACCAAAAAAATGTACTTTTCTCATCCACGACCGTTTATTTCAGTTTTTGAATGCGCTGCGTATGTGTGTCTGCACACCGGCTTCACACTGCGAGTATGACATATTGTATGTGGTGTTTCTGCTGCCTGTTCGAGTTGGACATTGCTCAGTACGGTTTTGAGCAAAGTTTCACATCCGGTGAAAGCGTGCCGCTATTGCAAACCACCTAAAAGCTTTCTCTGGTTCTCAACACTGGAGGCCGAGAGGTGTTACGATGGCGAAAAAGCTGCCATCAAGGGAACAATTTAAGGCAACAACACAAAATAATTAAATAGTATAGTATAGAACTAGGATTGTATAAAATAGCTGTGAAAATATTAGAAGATAACTTGACTGAGGAAAATCTCACTCACACTGCAATCAACAGGTAATGACAGTATTGACCTTATCTAAAGGGGAAGAAACTTTAACAAATGAAACCACTACAGATGAAGCACACCTCCAGCAAAGCCCTCCATATACCTATATTCATTTAAAAAATGGCCTGATACCGTAAATCTGAATCTGAGATGCAGAAAGACACCAAACTAGCAGTTAAGAACAAAGCCAAACACAAAGTGACAACACGTGTACATCAGAGACAAGAAGTGAGAGGGAATTGAACTTACACGACATCCCGCTGTTCTCGAACACACATCCCGACATTGCCCTTGGAGTTCCGCACAAATGACTTGTTCTTCCTCAAGGATGGAGCGGACATGTCGGTGGACATGAAGGCGGCAGCACAACGCAATTCGCCACCATACTTTTTAAGCGAGCAACGGCGGACAGAGTGGATTGAGTTGCAGATCCAAGTTGAGGAGGATTCGACCGGCGAGATTTGGAACAACTACATGAAGAATTCGGCTAAATGCAAGAAAGTGAACATGAACGGAGTTAGTGGAGGGACAGGAACTTGGACGGAAGTTGGTCGGATGTCTGAAGGAAGTCTGTTGGAGGTCTCAACTCCTGATACTGTGCCAGTGGTTTCCTGAAGCTGCCTCCTCCTTGAGGCCGGACTTCTGATTGGTCGACAGGCTGCAGCTTTTTTTTCCGGTTTCCTCATAGCTACTGTGTGATTAGCTGCCGGAGACAACCCACACTATTACACACACAGTCACACACGCCCAGTCAGGACCCGAGGACCCGAGAAAGAGACTGGGGGGACTTTCCATTGCTTCAGACTGGAATCATACAGATAGTCCTGCACAGTTGCACCCACACACACATACGCACTTATTTTGACATGGTTACAAATATCGCATCTGCAGGAAAAGACTTCTGAAATCTGAAACGAGTACTGAAACTTTCTATTAACTTGGAAGTTTGTTTTGAAAGGCCACAAAGTCATGAAACCAGTAAAAACGCCCCCGCAAACCATCAAGCGTGAAAACAGGGAACGCAGCTGTTAACAGCTGGGGACTGTGGTGACGAGCTGTGGTTACTCGGACACAGGTAGGTAGGTGGACAGGTAAATATCACGTCCAATCACTTCTTCCAGGTCAAGGCTAGTTGACTCCAGCCTTATATTTGATATTTTTATCCTTGTTAATATATTTTTACAATGTCTCGTGTTTTTGTATATATTTTCTTGTTGCCTGTCTAATGTACAGCACTTTAAATGACAGGTGCTATGCACTCGTATTTACCTCGCCTTATAGGCATCCAACCATCTTATGTACACACTCATCCTTTTTTAATAACATCCCAGAATCTAGGAATGCAGTAGAGGGGGTGGAAGACTAGTGGGAAGAAAGCAATAGCCCAGTTTGCTGTTTAATTGAATTGAAATGTATAATTGACCCAGTTTTGTCTTGTGTTGACTGTGTGTGTCCGTGAGATGGAATTTGCACCTTTTCTTTCTCGTCAAACTGTAATAACAACTCTTTATTTTACCGTTGCACAATGTGAGAGGGCCTCAGCGCCGCAAAGTCTTCTTTTCACTGCAAGGCGTCTAACCACTCTCCCAGCTAAAGTTAGACGTTAGACTTTGAAGCCAAATAAAGAGCAGGTCATCTTGCAACAGAGGCTAAAACGCAGTCCTCTGTTTTCAGCAACTTTCTACAGATTCTACAAGGTTGTTTGTGCGTTTCAGTAAAACGATAGAATGACAATCGCTGCACTGAACGCACAGAGAGTGTTATGCAACTTTTTAGTGTGATCCAACTACACAAAATAGAAGAAAAAAAAAAGTGTCACGTCAATCTTTTGAAGCGTCATGGTGTTTAAGAGGGCAATGATGGTGGAAATTGATTAAGGTGCCTTAGAGGCTTCACCCAGTGTGTGGCATTTATGATGAAGTGTCTAATACTTGAATTGAAAAAAGTGATCGGACAGCTTTTTTTTAATCTCGAGTAAACAAGAGCGATCATCGTTCAGATCAAAAAGCCCCAACACCCTTTTTCTATTTAAAACCTTGAGCAAAAGTACATCAGGCACTGAACTGGACACAGTTTCCGCTTTTTTTTCTTTTTTCTCGTCTTCCTTTTAATCCTCCTTCTCTGTTGCACCTCCCCTGCTACTCTTTTTTTTTAATTTTTTCAGTTCCTTCTACCACCTTCTCTCTTTTTCCCCTCGTTGTTGAAGGTCTCCAACTCGATAAAAGAGACAAAACTAATCAGACATTAATTGCATTTGACCATCGTGAGGGTGTCGAGCTGCAGGTGGGTTTTCGGTCATAAGCAGTTGGTGTTTCCAGTTGCTTCACATCTTTTGGCCGTTCATAATGATGGGACGATGTTCCCTACCGCCTTAAACGCCCCCCACAGAGATTGTGGAGTGGAGCACTGTCCAGGTGAAAACCACATCCAACGTCTTTGAACAGAGACGTTAATGATTCTCATCCCAACACAGTGCACAAGTAGTTAGAATTTGACAAAACTTATTTTAGTATAAGCTGTTCCTAAATGTAAAAAAAGTCATTTTCACCCTCTTTTTTGAATTGTATTATAAAAAGTAGCCTACAGGAAAGAAAATAAGAGCGACACAATGAGCCCCACTAAAACACGCATCACTGCTTGGCTCCATATAAACCAGAACTTTAAAACCATCCTACCAGCTTAGATCAGCATGGCAACAGAGCAGCTGCTTCAAGTGAAACTCCAGCAGAACCCGGCAAAATTGCTACAAAGTCAAAGCTAAACCTCATTAAGTAGTGGCTAGCAGCCATATTTTGGCATATCGAGGAGGCAGCGGTTGTCTTATCTTACTGAAACGCAAAAAAGTAAACAATGTGTTCTGCCAGCCCTACATCCCAGGCTGTGATCCGGCCTCATTAGCTAACGGCATCCGTTCTGGGAGGTTAAGCCACGTTAATGATTGACCCACCGAGCCTCAACGATTCGCTATTTCTACTCCACGCATTCATGAATTAAAACCAAAAAGAAACTGAACTGCAGACTGAAAAGCGTATTACGTATATATTTGCAGAGAGCATCTTCGCACGTCCTCTAGAGAACGTGTAGAGCCACGCCGCTACCCTTTCAAACTGAGAATAAAAAGGCTTGTTAAAATGTGTAATTAAACTCACCCATGGAGTGCTGCGTCAGCTGTGTTCCTCGTACGTCGGTGTCATCAGTGGTTTGAGCCCTGCAGAACGCCGCTTCAGGCTTCTGCCCGCTTCACTTCCTGGCGCTTCAGAGCCACTGTATGAAGTGTAGTGACACCCTCCCTTCAACCACAAGATAACCCGACTGCAGCGCTCTGCAGACAGAAAAAAACCCAACCCATTGAGCAGAATAATAATAAAAAAAACATGGCTGAACAGCACTGCTCAGATGCACCGACCGCTTTATTGTGTTACGCTGGTCCAGCTTTTCCCCGTTTCGCTACTTAGCGGTGAAAACATGTTGTGTGTCCGTGGATCATGTTTCACTAATATCATGGCCAACTTCCCCTTCCAGTGCAGAAGGACCAGTAGCTCTCACGTCTGATCAGCAGTTATGTCACACACACAATAGTTAACCTGTAGTTTAACCGTGGGTCAAATGATCTCGCCTGTATTGTTAACAGCCTGTTTGTGTGAAACGCAGACCGCACATCCTTCGGTTGTATTTAGAGGCTCCGCTTTGTCACTGCAGAAAGTCATTTGACAGGAAGAGTATATTTACTTCTTTGTCAGAGAGGGGGGGCGTAATCACACACTCTGTGCGAGAGTGTACAGGGAACGAAGCCGAACTCACGCCCACCGCAGCGCCTGTGCAGTCCGGCCTTTGTGCTGGTTTGGAGAAATTAGATCAGATAAACGTCCATCTTCTAAAAAAAAAAAAACAAGCTTCAAACAACGAGACGAGCTGGCGTTCCGCAGACGCCAAATAAACCCGTAAAATATTAAGTTGAGCCATATTCACCTCCATCATCCCTCTCACACACACACACGCTCACACTCAAAATCCTAAAAAGAGCTAAAACGAGAGATTTAAATACCTTTGCTTGGATGAGCAAACATGCGGGAATGCAAACGTGCTCGGATCAAGCTGCCGGCTCATGTGGCTGCTTGATTTAGCAGAAAGCCAGAGACTTTTAGAGAAAACCATGGACACACCCATACGGCACGCTGAGCACAGCTGTTTCAAACACAGGGCAGAAGTGTTAGAAGCAAGAGCAAAGTGAGAATGTCCCCTGTCCAAAATGTGTTCTGGTTGTGCTTATCTTGTTGGCTTTGTACCAGCGTGACCGACAGACTGTGTAAAAGGAACTGTTTTTATTTTTTTGTTTGGTCGATTTGAAAAAAAAAAAAGGCTTCAGAAAAAGAATTCACCAAACCCGTCCGAAAACAGTCGACATAGAACGTGGCACCGCACCGCTCATTAAATTCCTTTTGGCTCCGCAGTGACGTCTGCCAGTCTGCTCCACCATATGAAGCTCACTGTTGCAGCCCACAAGCCTCCCAGTTTTTTTTAGTTTCCTTTTCCTTGTGGGAAGGCGAGACACGAGTGCACACGTGGCCTTACTTTTGTATTCACGCGTATCCAAACACTATAAACACCAAACAAATCAAGCCCCACTCTTATATTTATAGGTGACTATATTGTCTGATGGTGTGTATAATCTGTGCATATGTTTCTGGCAATGTCACTTTGTTAACCAAAATAATGTGAAGCTTTCACAGTGTAAGTAGAAAGAGAAGTTACTTTTGTGTTGTTTTTTTGTGTTTGAATTACATTACACACACAAAGAGAAACAATCTGCCATTGTCTCTGTTGCAAGAAGTAAATGTGGTACTTTCCCACTGTGAGCGTTGAAATCGATTGTCAAGGGATTGAGGTCAATGTCAACCACACACCTGCCATCGGAGGCACGGCTGGTGGTCAAAGTACGCCTTCTATGATGCGACAAAACAATAATAAAATAATGCGTCTTTTTCCGTGTGGGAGTCATCATACAATCCCTGATTTGCATGTTGCAGTTTTCTTGTGAAGACGGGGCTCTGGGGGACAGAAAGGTAGGGGTGGGTGTATTATATGTGGGTGGTGTGTAGAGGTACTGCAGGTATGAGAACCGATGGGTTCAGAAACTCCTCAACCACGACCTCCCATGTCGTTTGCAGTGCACGATGATCTGGGCGGGATTATCATTCAGCGCACTCTGCAAACTGCAGCAAAAGCCAATCGTTTTCAGCCCGAACAATTTCAACCCAAAACATAATAATTCATTGAATGATAAATTTGTGAAAAAGCAAAAATTCCACAAGCAGTTAAAACACTTTTACATTTGAAGTATTTGGCGTTTGTAGAAAAGTGCGATGCCAGCATACTGCTGGGGTTTAGAAACGTGTTTGTTGTAGCAGCAATTTGATAAAGAAAGTAAGGTGAATAGGAGGTATTACACTAAAGAATAGACTAACAAATATGACTTGTACCTGAATATTTGCATTAAATCCAAAGAGTCCTGTTGACGATAAATCCTCCTTAGCTCTGTTTGCTTGAAGGGCCGGAATCAGTTTGACGAGCTGTCAACACAATTTGCTGAACCTCAATTTACTGTACGCACACCAGAGAAAACACAACAACAAACGCTGTGAGTAAATACACTGTGCCTCCACGGCACATCATTAAGTATATAATGATGCTGAGCTTGTCAGACGTCAATCACTCTAATGTCATTCACAAGATGTTGCCTGTTGCTCGTTCAACATGCTAAAACAACTGTAATTCTGTGAAACTAAATTAAGTTGGAAAAATAAAAAGAGAACTTATTTCAGTACACATCATTTTGCTGCAGTCAGAGATGCATGAATAAAGTTATATTTCCACACAGCTGCAAGTGATGACGCCTACATCAGTTTAAGACGTGTTTATTTATAAATTTCAAAAAGGTATATTTAGCGCCAACACTTGTCTGAAGGTCGTTTCTGTGGGTGGTGGCAGAACAAGTTGAATTATGCATTTTTGTGTGGTTGAATGTGAGCGTTTCCACAACAGGAGACGCACCGCACCGAAACAACCACAGAACTGTTGAATATGCAAAAACGTCTTCTGTGTCACATCCGAACCGATGATGTCTTTATCGGTCCGTCCCTCCATCCAACTACGAAACGACTGTGAAAGGTTATTTTATTGTTACATATTGCGAAGCTCCTCTTCAGCCTTCACAACGAAGGAGACACATTATAAACCCAAAAGTCCTTTAAACTTCTGATGCCACTACTGACAGCTACAATAACTGACCCCAACCAATGTGGTGAACTGCTCCTTTAAATTGACTTGCGATGCGTTTCGGAGAAAACAAACGGCGCATTCTGGGATTCCGAAGAAGCTGCCTGTAAAAAATAAAGGCGTGCGTGTCAGCAGCAGCCAGCCAGCCAGCGTGTCCCTGCGTTTGATAAGGGGATGTTGCCATTTCCCCTGCAGTGACAGCAACAAGCGGCCGTCCCACGCCGTCACACCGTCGCCCCTCCTCCCACGCTTCTCGCAGAGAGGAACACACGGCGCTATTATTACCGCTGACAGGAAACACGTCGAACCGCACTAGTGAACTCGGCCGACTCTCACTCGCCGGCTCCGTCTCTTGACTCTGTGACTCATCTCTTCCTCTCTGTTGTTTGGCGGGTGCTTCGCTTTTCCAGCTCTCTTTCCCTCGGTCTTTTCTGCTTGTGCCACTTTCTGTTTCTGTGAAAGTCCCCCAACACCCCCCCCCCCTAACCACCCTCCTCTGCCTCGGTGCCTCTCTTCACCCATTCCGTCTGTCTGTTTGTCTGCTTTACTGTAACTAAAGGCCCCTGATGTCGTCACTCTCTGCATGTGAGGCTTCTGATGCCAACTTAACATCCATCCCTCCCTCCCTCCCTCCTTCCTTCCTCCCTCCCTCTGGGCCGTCCAGCGTGGAAGCGACATGGCCTCATCTCATCTCATCTTTAACCCCTTTTCCGGGGTCGGGTCGTGGGATCAACGGTTCCAGCAGGGGACCCTAACCTTCCCTTATACCCGGGCCACGTCTACCACGTATGACTGGGGGATCCCGAGGCGTTCCCGGGCCAGGAGGTGACGAATGAGCTGAAAGGGAGACGCCAGCCACCCTCCGGAGGAAACCCATTCTGTGACTTGGCGCTTTTGGTCATTCATGGCTACAGGTGCGAGGTCAGGAACAAATGCACTGGCTTTCCTCAGCACAAGTCAGGCAAAATTCATTTTGTTGGTCAGTTGCAAAGTCAAATGTTAAAACCGCTCTTTCCAAACGTGTTTTGCACGCTTAACCCCCTTGGGCAAAATTCACCATTTTGAAATTTAGGCCCCCTCAGCGATGTGTGCATCATTTCTTATTCAGGCTGTGCATTTAGGTGTTTGCAGTCTCACAGCCTAATGGATTCTTTTTCACTTTAGGACCTAAGGCCTTTTTTGGAGTTTTTTAAAGTGTAATAAATACACACATGTTAAATAACTTAAATGCTACTTGAGTTTTCTACTACTAAGCAAAGATTGTCAGTGTGTCACATATGTTAATAATATAACAATGGCAGGAATTTAAATCCAAATGTTGATTCTTGCCTCATTAAACATTGGTAAAGAAGTCTTGTTGTTATTCTAAAATGAATTTGAACGGTTTAGAATAGTAGCAACATGGTTATTGGTCAGTAAGGAGGTAAAAAGGACTAAATAAACTAAATCAAAGTGGTGGACAGGATTTCTATCGATCACGCTAAGGTCTGAAATCTTTCACTTTCTACAGCACTTATCATCATTAGGCTGACATGAACCCCCCCCCCCATCTACAATATGTAAAAAGAATTACGCTCGCACCACATGAACTTTACACTTGAAGAAAGTCATGTTAACTTCGGCAACATGATAACAGTAAGAGAAGTTAGTTCCTTCTGGTGGATCCCAACTCGTTCTTTTACACAATCCATCCTGAGTAACAACGTTCCTTGTTTGTTTGACCAGCTTACGGAGCTCTATGGGAGCTGTGGAGAGGAGGATGCTCCCCTCTGGTGGCAAATTGGGTAAAAGGCCAAA